GTCTCATCAGAACTAATCACTCAGCAGATCGCACTGAACCGTGTGAATCAAACGACCAACCACACCACAATAGAACCACTAGACCATCGAGACCAACCTTTAACAGCAAAATTAATCAGCGAACCACCGACGAATAGAAAACCATATTGTATTGTAGTGTTAGTTTAGTAAGTTTTGTCCTTATACACCACATATAACGTACTATTTTATTTTTATTATCTATTTATGTGTTTTTAAGTCTAATATATTGTTACCAATTTACATCGTTGACTGTTATAAGCTTTACTGGAAATATCTATAACTTTCGTAAATTCTGTACGATGTAACTTTTGTATGTTTAAACGCGTGTAGCTTTTCAAATTTGAAGGCGAGCACTACCTGGCACTACCCACTTACGCTAGTACAGTATTTTTTTCTGTTTTTAATATGAAGAATCTACCTTAGCATAGCAAGCAGGATTTATGTATTTTGTGTTCTTGAAAACTTTATTAAAATTAAATTGTTGTAATTTCTTCATCCACGCATTTCTGCAATGGTGGGACTTAAAGATCTTGCTCAGTCCAAACTAGCAAGTTAACTCTTTCTATAAATATTATTAGTTATAATACTTCGTCAGCCTTGATAAATCTAGAAAAAAAATTTGAAGGCGAGCACTACCTGGCACTACCCACTCCCTCTAGTACAGTTTTGTTTTTCTGTTTTTTTTAGCGAATTTCCCATATAGGGAATAAGCTATTACCGTAGGTCTCATGGTAAGACCTAGACCTGGGACCGATTTAATTTTTCGTTTTGAGGTCCCCAGAGGCCAAAAACACCATCCGTTCAAATTCATATATATATATATATATATATATATATATATATATATATATATATATTTATTTATTTATATATGTGTCCGATAGCGCGATAACTCGAGCAAAACTTATCCGATTTTGATGAAATTTGGTACAAACGTGTAAACCTACATTTATTCGAACGAGTTCGCGAACCAGCATAATCGGACCATGGGATCAAGGGTTTATGGGGGGTTTTATGGGGTAAAAATGGGTTTTTCTCATTTTTGACCCTAAAAACTTTAAATTTCTAAATTTCTCTCTAGACCATTTTGAAGAGCTTAAAAAAACAAATAATTTAGTATATTGAAGTGTTTTTGAATGTTCATTGACTACTGAGAAAATTAAAAAAATTGTAAATTTAAAATTCCCATGTTATTCTTATGGAGAATAAATAAAACTGTTCTAGTTTGCTTGTTTATGGATATATTTTAATCAAATTTGGCAATTTGGTTTATTTCATACTAAGCTATCAATATTTCAATTGAAAAAACACACCTCAACATCTTCCCCGTAGCAGCAAACCTAACTACTCACTAAAATTAATGTTATTTAAATAGGAAATAAATCTGAAAATTTATAGGGAATATTTTAGTAGAAATCAAGCTGGGTAAATGGAAATTCGCTTAGTATGCAGGTTTGCTGCGACGGGGGTATTTTTTAATCTGTTTTTAATATGAAGAATCTACCTTAGCATAGCAAGCAGGATTTATGTATTTTGTGTTCTTGAAAACTTTATTAAAATTAAATTGTTGTAATTTCTTCATCCACGCATTTGTGCATTGGTGGGACTTAAAGATCTTGCTCAGTCCAAACTAGCAAGTTAACTCTTTCTATTAATATTATTAGTTATAATACTTGATAAATCTAGAAAAATTTTAACATTTAAATTGGACATCATTGTTTCTCGGAACGTCTCTGTTACTCTTTATCATGAACGTCTGTTGTAAGCAGACTGATACCTAAATTATTTACATCTTAAATGTAAAATATTGTTAGTAACTTAAATAATAGCGATGTTGCCGTACCATAGGAATAAAAAATGTTGTTTTCCAAACCTGTTATAGTACAAATACGTATAATGATTGAATATGTTGAAATATAAATATACCCTATTATAAACACGTAGCAATCAACTATCAATACTAGTAACATTATACTAGTTGTTTTGAAGTAGATTTAAAACGACTTTAGTGTTTAACTTGGGTACACATCACGTTGCTAATCACGAAGATGCAGTATACAACGTCAATAATTACAAGCCATGAACTGAAAAAATAACAAATTCTTTACCTAACGTAGCATTTTCCCCTGACCAGTAATGTGGCTTTTATAACCGCTCGTCTAATCTAAGCCAACCTTAACGGCTCAATACAAACATCCGTGAGGGATTTGTGACAAACATGTTTTGCAGCGTCGTAAGCTTGTTTTGACTTCGGATCGGACTTGAAATAACCCTTATCGAGGTTTACGAACAGCGGAGAGGGAGAGGGGAAAATCCTGTACTGTACAATAGCTTTGATACGATTTTTTATTTAGTTATTTATTTATTTGTCATGAGAGCCGAAGCCCCCTGACAGCATACCCGGTACCTATCCTTTAGGACATACCCGGGCCCCATGATATAGGCCGAAGCTTACGCGTCAACCTTTAGCACATCATGGGCGGATGACTAAGCCCATGTTAGCTTTGATACGATAGCTAACCTAGCTGGCATGGTTTAACAGCAGGCTTGACTAAATACACTAATTGAGTAGTAGTAGGTAGTAGCTAGTAAATTTATAGCCATGAAAGTATGAGTCATTTTTACTGCTGGTAATGCGAAACTACTGTATAGGGAAGTGAGCTGTGTGCTTTGTTTAAAAGGGGTAGATAATATTTCCCTCACTAAATTTAGTATAAGAATAGATTTTCGTGTGTAAATATTGAACCATTTTACTTTGAATTACTGTACTAATAAATATTTGATAATAAGATCTCAAATTTATTTTTAAATTACGCATGGGCTTTCTTATTCCTTTCTAAATGTAATGTTGCTATATCTTTAGTATAAAACCGGGCCGGTAATTTGTTGGTGTGAGAACTTAATTTCGATTATGGCATAATCGTTGTTTTGGACGACAAAATAACATAAAGCTGTAGTTGTATTGGACATCGGTTACTTTACTATGATCAATGTTTTAAACATTACGTATTATCCACTCACTAGATTATGGAATAATATAAGGAATTAGTTTGCTAGAGTTTATTATATTAATTTGTCTTTTTAAATTCCTGATACCAGAGCTGATGTTTAATCTGTGCTAATACAAATTCCACTTGTATACATATGGGGAAAATATTGAGGTTATGTGATTCAGTTAGGTTGGTGCTACTGCAAAACATTGTCATTGTCATTCATTAATCATTAACAAACAGCAACAGCAACAGCTGATCGGTGAAGAAAGTTGTAAGTTGTAATTATTATTGGTGTCGGTGACAGGTGTTGTGTCTGTAAACAATAAACAAAAACAAACCCAAGAAGAGACAAACTGAACTGACTTGAATTCTATTCTACGCTACGATAACTAGAAAAATTATGCAATTAAAAGTAGATTACACTTCGCGCTCTAACAATCAATATGCAATGGCTGCAGGTTTTGTAAGTTCACCAGGTTCACCTCTAATTAGGCATTGAGCTATCTTTTTATTTACTGTGTGGGGATGTGTTCGCTTGAAAATGTACTTAAAGTAACTAGCTGTTACCCACGGGCTCCACCCCGTTTACTTCATAAGTATTAATAAAACTATTGATTGGTTAAGCTGAAATAAACAAAGCAGAATACAGTAATAATGGTAATACAAACAAATAATAACAGCTGAGGTATTTTTAACATTAGGTAAATGGAAAGTTCCCTTTGGAAAGCAATTACGACCTTATAGGGCAATTTATGAAATAATGGATAATTTTGCGCAAGGTTTCTCGTCATGACGAACATTTTAAGTATGGTTTATGGGGGTGTGACTTGTAGTTTTCTCAAAAGTTCATGGGTACTTTTGGCTTTATATATAGATACCAGAAACAAAAGAACCCTGGGCCGTTTTGAGCCGCGCAGGTTTGAATGCTACGCCACACCTACCTGCACAAACCACGTGATCTTTTCGTTTCTGCGCAGGTTGTTTTGTTCTTGGGATATCTATAAAGTATAATATAAGCAGTTGTTTTTTTTCTGGTGGTCATAAGTTGTGAAAACTCAATTAAATAGATATATTTAAATCACTAACACCCCCCCCCCTCTGGGTGTCAAGTTTTGCTTTGAGCTGGGCCCAATGTCTAGCCACAATGTAAAAAAAAACTATTGGAAAACCGACTTTATGTACTTTTTTATTCACCTCATTCAGCATATTCAGGCTACGAATTTGCACTCACTTTTCCTCAAAGATTGTAAAATATGGTAGGCCTAGTTTAGCTTATGACCACTTTGGGGACAGAATTTGCACCGATAACTTGCTTTGTGTAACTATCTTATCATACTTTGCTTGCCCTTTGTTTTGAAATTAAGAAAATGTAGAGTAACTTACCAGTAACTTTAAAATTAGGCCTAAATTATTCAAAAGCCATAGGCTATCGCTGACAAACAATCAGTTGATTCTTGTGTTCATCTCTTAAATAGTACCGGTAACCCCATAACCGGTTACCAGATTTAGTCTACTAATCACCAGCTCTATAGAAACCTGCATTAGTCCTTAGCAAATCTTGGCAAGTCTACTATGAGGCATTACATATTTAACATTATCACTAATACCGAAACCCCGGTCTGACAGGCCCACGGGAATTTTCAAAAACGCATGTTGGCAACACTGTTTACTTGGTAGATTCCATTCCCCCAATACCTTCCCCCCTTTTCCTCCCCTACCTATTGATATAACGTTTGTTCATTTTGCAAGGGTGCCATGACCTTGACAGGTTGTTTGTTCATAACATGCCCGTCTCAGAAGCCCAGCGTTAGTGTATTTTAAAGCGGGGTCTCACAGACCGAGGGTTTCGGTTTGTGTGTTTCTAAGCGGGGTTCATTATTTTTCAAATGGGGTCTCACAGACCGGGGGTTTCGGTTAACGTCAGCCTAGGTGGGGTTTCGGTATTAGTGTTAAGCTATAAGTTAGCTTATTGTGTTTTGGTTCCAGATTCAGAGCCTGCTGCGACTCCATCGGTCAAGGCAGTTATTGGGTTGGCTACAGATGGAGTATCAGTCGGCCGCCATAGCTATGTCACTAGCCTGCTTCCATTGTGGGCAGAACTGATTAGGAGGGACATCTCCGATGGGTACACCAATGGTGAGTTGAAAATCAAGGGGTAGGATGCAGAAGGAATGAAAACTGAATTAAAAAATTAACTGAGCTTATGTTATCTAATATTTGGAAGAGGCGCGCCAAGGCATTAAGGGGCTTGAGCTGGATTTGTGGTATTGTTGCTTGTCCCAGTCAGTTAATGTATTTATTGACCTTCAAAGTCCAGGCACCTCATGATTGTCTGCAGTCCACCGATTAGTTCCTTCTTTTGAAGGTGACTCCCTCTTAACTGGCTGCCAAGAATTGTTCTCTTTATCTCAATGAAGAAGATAGACTGTTCCTTACAGTTGAAAAGCGAGCCATCAGCAATCTCGTCATACAAATCCATTTAATGCAGATGTTTTCTGAACTGTCCATGTCCGGTATTCCGTTAATCATCCTATTTTTTTACTGATTCTCCGACCTCAGGATATCTGAAGCAACCTGTTAAGGCCTGTGAAGAGTGAGCTACTCTTTAAAAGGGTACAGCCCATCTTCTTAACTGCCATTAGTAAGATTTTAGACAGCTCAACGTAGGCCTGTATATTATTTTCTACAATGTAACACAGTAGTTTTGACATAAGATGTGGAATTGCCCCTGAACTGGTTTATAACTAATATAATGGTTTAATTACCTACAGTCTCCAGTTCAAAGTAAGTCGATTAATGCGACCTAAGTTTCAGCACAACGTTGTGCTATCATCAGGCTTCCAGTCGAAAATGTTCAGTCCATTGGACGTCGTTTAGTAAAAACTATATACAGTTCACAAGACACAAACACATACACATTTACCGATCGGTATTTACAAAGGGAGAACGAGTACATTTTGTCAAATCACCGGTCGCAACGAGTGACATCCAAGCCACAACTAGCTAGATAATTCTTGTGGTCTACCTGACCTTTGTCCTTTGTATTGTCTTGATCCTTGGCTAATAGGATGCGTCAGTGTCGCTTGGGTCTCGATTATTTTGTTGAAAATTAAATTGGAGCTGTGGTGGATTTGATCGTTCATTAGGTTGTCAGCATCTTGTTTTAATGACTTGTCGTGCTGAAACCTAGGTTGCATTAATCGACTTACTTTGAACTGGAGACTGAAGGTAATTAAACCATTATATTAATAACACAGTAGATCTGCCCATAAATATAAAATAACTTACAGCTGAATTTCATGCATGTTTCACTATCTGTAATGCTAAGTATACCAATCTTTCAGAAGCAGGAGTGCTGTTAAACTCACAGACTGGATTCCTCGATGGATCCGGATTGTATGGAACAACTGCAGAACAGGCAGAAAGACTGCGAGGGGATGGTGGCAAACTGAACTTGACTGCGTGTTCAGAGTAGGTACCTTGTCAACTGGAGTAATTTGATTCAATCTAGTAGAAAACTTCTACATTATGTAGCAGTAGGCTAGTGTGTATGTAGAATACTTTTTTGTCCTTGGACGTTAGGTACGAGCCCGGATTATTTTTCACATTAGTTCAGGCTAGACCTAAGGGTTGCGGCATTATCACTTAAGACGGTGACACACTATCGATCTTTTCCCCGAACAAGACCCCGAACCGAGCAGGGAGAAGGGAGGTCGAAGGGAGGATGTTCGATAGTGTGTCACGAGTCCGTACACCGATCAAGACGCCGAACAAGACATCAGGCCGAGCAGGGAGACGAGCGCTCTGGAGGCGGTTTTTTGGCGAAAGATCAAAGAAAAGATCGGTCCGATGTACGATAGTGTGTCACGGTACATTTTTGCCCCGTACATCGTCGCGAGCGCCGCACCGAGCGGCCGCCTGCGCTAGCATTGATAGTTCCGCGCTCTCACTCGCACACACTCTCTATCTCTCTCCAAACTTCCTTTTGCCGCGCTCGGTAGAATTCGTCTGGTCTTGGTCATGTTCGGGGAAATGTTCGGAGTAAAATTTTGCTGATATTTATCTCCCTTCTCCCTTCTCCCTGCTCGGTTCGGGGTCTTGATCGGGGAAAAGGTCGATAGTGTGTCACCGCCTTAAGACTGTATTATCACGATCGGATTATCACGATCGCGGCAAAATCATGAACATCTCTTACGGCCATGTAGACGTCATCATCATCTCCCAGGATCGCAGTAACGTTATTGTTGTCATCCGCGATCGCGGCAAAATCATCTCCTGAGGTCACTGAAATGTCATTATCGGTACCGGTACCGACATTTCACCAGCAGTTCTCGGTTCCGGTTCTTTTGCTAAGAACCGACATTTGACGTGAAGCACGGACCTATCACTAATTACCTCCTATGTGTTTTCAACAATCTTGGTGTTTAAAACTCTTGAGCATGGCTAAGGAGGATGACAGTGTTTGTTCATAGAATGATTGTGTTTGTCAGTATAACAGTGATAACTTTGATAAATCAATCATGGGTCAGAACTCAGAAGCCATATTAGTTCAACTTGGCTTAGTTCCTTTTGTACCTACAAGCAAGCACTTAATAAACCTCTATCACTGAACTATGTTATTTTTGTTAGACATACAGAAAAATATAAATAATGGAAAGACATCAGGAAAATGACTGATAACCTAGTAATATCATTGCAGATGCCGCAATGTAGGATCAGGTCTCGGGTTGGTACACTCCACTTTGCTGTTGGAACACAACCGGTTAGTCTCGCAGTTGGCAGCATTGAATCCTCATTGGAGTTCTGACACGCTGTACTTTGAGGCACGTCGGATTATTATCGCTGAAGTTCAACACATCACGTTCAAAGAGTTCTTACCCACATTACTAGGAGAGGTAAGAGTCAGAGCTTTGAAAAGCTCAATAAGATCATAACAGCTATTACTTAATTATATCAATTTGAATAGGCTATAATAGTGATAGAAAAGAATACTAAACTTGCAAGTCCAAACTTCACCTCTCAAATAAAGACATTATTCATTTCATTTCAATTCAGTCCAAACTTCAGACGTCCAGCTTCAGCCAGGAGACGGAGAGATCACTGAAGTTTGAGAGTTCAAATCCTGTTTTGGCCTGTGTGTAAATCATGAGTTCACCAGTCTGTGGAGAGGCCCAACAATCTCATAAAACAGCAGAAATCTCAATAATATTGATTTTGTTGTTCATAAAATGTGCAAAAATGTGATGAAAATAGTAAAAATTCAATTATTGAATAAGGGTACGGGTGGAAAAAAGTTCTGTGACAGTTAATTAGCCTATTTTTAAAAAGAATAAAGGTAGAGCTTCCAAACTTGGTACACAGTTACAAGGGCATTAAAATTATTTTTAGACATTATTCAGTGATAGGCCTTCACTACCTCTTCATGGGACGGCCCGCTAGGAGTCAGAAGAAAATCTTAAATACCAAGCATATGCACATCAAATTAAAATCGAACCATCAAAAAGCTAACTGACTTTTCTCAGGATCGAACCGGTGACATTTTAAATAATTGTTAAGCGAGCATATTTTAGTTTTAGTCCAGTCCTTGTATAACATGTTTTTAAATCATAATTAATTTTAAATATTTACCGGTAAGCTGTAAATTATAATTTATTTCACAATTTGTATTATGTAGGCCTATTATAACGTGTTATTGCCGCAATAATTCCACGTAGGAAGAGTATGTGGTATTTGTGCGACGTCTCGTAATGTCATTTACTTCTTTATATTTGAAATAAGCGTCACAATCTATTTGCATACAATATTCCCCATATAAATTGAATTTGAAGAGCTCCTAATCATTTCTTAAACAATTAGAATGGGTATATAGTTAATTCGGATTAAACTACATAAAGTTGCTACTAGAAAACGTAACCCACAGAAACGATGAAAAATTGACAAGATTAATCATTTGAATATTTTATAGTTTGGCATTTTTGAAAGTATTTCAAAAGTATTGATGACAGATTAGCTAAGAAATGTAATACTTTACTTTGAAATGGCCACCATCCGAATGAAGGTATTTTAAGCCAAGTATGAATGGAGAAGTCCTCTCTACCACTTAACCTCTACTGCTTGGTTACTAACCAGCTGGACCTAACTGTTTACGATAACAATACTGTTCAACCTAAAGCCCAAGAGTTATTAACTTTACTCCTAGGTTACATTCATATTGAATATATCTTTTAGCAGGTTCAGCTAAGTGGAAGCTTGTATATGATACTTTTGTTTGTGATACATCAGACATTAACTCAAAGACTAAAGTTATTGATATTTTGCAGGTAGTAGTGTCAGAATGGTCTCTTCAGCCAGCAGAGAGGGGAAGATATTCAGGATATTCCAGTTCCATCAGAGCCGGGACATTTTACAGTGTAGCCACCTCCGGCCTGCAAATCATCCCAGGCATGCTGCCATCTACTCTGGTAGGCTCACACATAGATAGTCAAGAAAATTAAATCGGTTAAAGATGACAAAACATAAAACAATTGGTGTTACAGTAGAACCCCTGTGTACCAGTCTCCGGTTTATCCGACCACTTCTACAAAGCCAATATAAAAATAATATTTTTCTCACGGCTTACAGTGCAACTTGGCCATAACAATCAGGTCTGATTATGACCAAAGAATTCATATACAGTGTTTTGTATAGTCCAACTGTTATGTCCTCTAACGCTTGTCATTATGTTGTATATGTAGAAGTCAAGATCAGACAGTCAGATGAGAGACAGCTCCAGTGTAGAGGCTGTGATGGCTGGAATGTTCTCCATGGTACTCAACACACCAGCCCTTCTGCCAGCATTGAGAGACAAAGGTAAGTGGGTCAACCCAAGACATGGTTCTTGACAGCGTCAAGAAATGTGTTGGTTATTCTGCTGCTATTCAACATGTTGTTTTAAAATAAGCTCACTTTTTGGAGTTAGTTTTTTGTTACGGTTTATATTTCCGTTAAAGGAATTGGTTATTGGTGGGTCACCTCTGAGGCTTACCCTCAGTTACTTTGGGTGGCTTAGCTCAGGAATCAAACTCAGCACTTGCTTACAAACCCAACTTTATTATTACCCCACAAAACACACAAAGATTAAGAACACCCCTCCTATTACAATTATTAGTGACATTTTGCATCAGAGTTAGAAAAACTAGTTTTCATATTTGGATTCTTTATCAAATTTCGTCCTCAGGTGAGAAAGCAGTGCCTAAAAATAACCAAAAGTCCATTAACCTAACCAACGCTAGGAAGCCACAATACAAACACCACTCAGAGAACTTAATAGTCTAGTCAAAACAGAAACACTGTGACTGTGTTGTTTTTCTTTTGTGATTTCCCTGCTTTGTTTAAGTCAGTGTAATCTACCTACATTAGGCCTAATTGTAAAAAGTAACATAGGTACAGTGACAACAATTTAAACGTGAACCTGATCTTCTCTCACTAATGTTATTTCCTCCCACAGACCAATGGAGTCGCCTGTTGGAAGAGTCAAGACAACAGAAACTGCCAGGATATAGAGAGTGGCTGAAGTGGTGCTCGGAACGTTCCAACAAGTCTGTGACAGGAGCAATACCAGCTGAGGCCCAACAGATGCTGAACACACTTTACAGGTATTGCATTTTAAAATGTTGATGATAAAAATCTTGGGGTGGCGGAATTTTATATCCCTGGAATTTAACCCACTGACCAAAACTGACGTCACAACCTAGGGGATAAAATTCCGGCCGCGAACTTTTGGTACAACTCAAAAGTTTGCGGCCGGATTTTTAACATCAGTTTTAAACTAAAGGTGGAACATTTTCCCGTTAATTTAATCAGAACACAACAAATTATAAAACCTAGAGTGTACGGGCCGGAATTTTACCCTTGGTATTTTACCCCCTTCATGAGGTCAGCTTATGTACTTGGATTAAGTTTTAAATGAATAGCAAACATTTTATTATTAAGTAGCCTATCTTAATTTATTTTTAACCTCAACTATGAAACAGGTACTAATTTTAAGATTCGAGTTTGGGAATTTGATATTTGGGGCTACCTGTTGATTAATATGTATGTAAATATAGTGACTTCAGCTTTGCCCATGTTGATAAAACTCCGGAAACCCATAATCGTACGCCACCGCAACAAACCTGCCTAGACTAAGCGAATTTTCATTTGCCTGATTTGCTAACACTAACATGTTTTTTTATGTCCGATTTATTCCCTTTTTAAATAAAAATAGGTTTATAACTATGAATTAGGTTTGCTGCTATATTGAATGTATTACAGTGTGTTTTTAGTGAAATGTCAATAGATTGGTGTGAAATTACAATATTTGCCAAACTTGATCAAAATATATACAAAAACCAGCAAACTACAACAGTTTACTGGAACTAAGTTTAAAGTTATTTAAACCTTTCTCCATAACCATTTAGCATACAGCATCGGTTTATTATACTAAATCAAAATTTGTTTTTACACTAAAATTTAGGACAAACAGCTGCAGATTGCAGTATTGCATAGTAAAGTTACGCATCCAGCCCTTGTCCATTCGGTAACATTGACCTTGGGGATGGGGTGCATCAGCTGATAGTGGCGTATCCTTCCTTTATTAACTGCAAATGTATACAAGCTTACCTTGATATCTGTGGTTTCTATTCTAAACATACGCCTAATCTTCAACAAACTTATTGGGATTGAGAGAGGTTAGTCCGTATCTGGTTCCTAATCCAAAAACCGGTGTGTCCACAGGAGTCCTCGGCAGGTAGACTTGCTGGCGGGAGGTATCTTGGAGCAGCCGCAGCAAGGCAGCGTGTTGGGACCTGTCCTGACATGTCTGATGGCTAATCAGTTCCGTATGTTGAGAGACAGTGACCGCTACTGGTATGAGAACGACATTCCACCAGCGTCACTCACTAATGGTAAGTTATCACACTTACATGTGGTCGGGTGGTCCATAAAAGAGGGGAACAGCTCCATTGGTTTTGTTCGCCCAAGTGAACAAGTGTTCTTAATCAAACCAAGGCCCCACTAGAAAAACACGCCATGTTGCAGCATGGGCAGCGCAACACTACGTCACAGTGTTGGATAGTTGTACTAATCTCTTACCATTAAAATCTTACAAACAGCCAGCTTGGTTTATATAAAATCGTGGTCTTCTGGCGACGACCGTGTCAAAAATGATGAATCACTAACACTCACCGACGTTTCGGCCTTGATACAGAGTGCCATCTTCAGGGCGACTCCCCCTGAAGATGGCACTCTTTATCGAGGCCGAAACGTCGGTGAGTGTTAGTGATTCATCATTTTTGACACGGTCGTCGCCAGAAGACCACGATTCTACATTAAGTGACCGTGGAAGCCTATCCAGGAAGCCAGCTTGCTTATTTACCTAAAACATATGGCAATGGCAATGAATTTATCAATGAATCTATCCACTAGTGTAACATCATGGATCCTACAGCATGGCCTGTTTTTCTAGTGGGGCCTTGATCGAACTGACCAAAAAGACCAATTCACGTTCTGCCATTTGTTCACTTTATTGTTTTGTTTGTTCTAAAACAGATTGACGTTAGACTGAAACTTGAGGAGTAAGTTGAAGCAACTATAATGACTACGCGAATTGATGTTATGAAAGTGACAGAGATTAACTTAAATCCGAAAAGTTAGGGGATCCGAACGTTACATCTCAATACTAGCACAGGCGCAGATAATAGAAGATAAAATGTCATTGAGTGTTACACATACAATATAAACATAGCTGAACAATGAAAATTCTCTTCAGCCGATCCATAAAGATATTTAATCTATAAAAGAGCACATTTTAATGGTATTCTATAGTATAATATAATGTAATGAGTATAGCATGATGGGTACAACACAAATATCAATCGGCTGGTTATTTTATTTATTTTTTTATCAGCTGTTTTGTTTTCTTGTTCAGTTTCTGTGTGATTGTGATTCAGCTGTCACGAGTTTCTGTTTACTGCTTTCATTTATCAGCTGTTGTGTTTACAGATCAGCTGACAGAGGTGAGGAAGGTGACTCTGGCAGGTCTGTTGTGCTCCAATGTGCCTCATCTTCTAAGTGTCCAGCCCAGACCTTTCTTGCAAGAGGATTCATACCTGTGAGTTATCATCGTTTATTTACTTCAGCTGTTAATAATAGAGAAAATTTGTGTTAAATGAAATTCAGAACATAGCTACACAACAATTCTTCTAAAACTTACCGCTGCTTTTCCTAGCAGTCTAACTACTGCTCTTATCAAGACGTTAACTCTAACTACAGTAGTTACCACTGACCCATTGATGAAGGAATTTTTAAACAGAAGCATTACCATTTGAGACGGGTATGCCATCCAGGTGTATTTTAACCCAAATGTGAGTAAAAGATGAGTTTAGAATAAAATAAGATGGCTTGTGTTGCTTTGTTACTGTCTAGACCATCCATTTCATTAGCCAGGACCATTTATTAAAAGTATACCAGCTTGAGCTTGACCAAGGACAGCTGGGTCTAGTGTTGAACAATCAAAAAGCTACTAACTTTTCTCAGGATGACCACTGTGTTTAGAATAATATGGAGCTTGTGATATTCTTAGATAGTATATGTAGACCTATAGATATGTATATGATGTATTGACCTTTTTACATTGTTAAAAATGAAAAATTGTATTGTTTTATTTTATGTTCAATCACCGTATTTCCTTTATTTCAACATTTTTGTTTTTCCTCTATAGTAATAAATTTGGTAGTCTGATATTGACGTAGTCTATCTCCTCATACATGATGTAATTAATGGCCGAATAAACCACTATTAGACAATCACGTATAGAATAACAATAAATTTATGACCGTGATTTTGAAACCACTGTTGTCAGGAATGCCCAAATCGGATGTGATCACTTCTCCCCACTGGCTGTGGAGGCGTGGAGGGAAGACACGCAAGAGTTAGACTCAGCCCAGGAGGCCGTGTCCATGGAAATGCTGAAGCAGGCGATCCGTCAAGCAGAGGACGACGTTCAGAGACGCTTCCAGACAGAATATCTACTTTATACACACAGTGAGTGTCATTACTCTTGCGATATCAGCTTTGACAATCAATAGAAGAGCCCATGTTGAAGACTTTGCCAGTTTTAGATAAAAATGATGTGCCAATGACATAGTGTGCTGAAGAAAATTACTGATTTCTGCCGAATACACCACACTACTTTGTAACCACTTTAAATATCCCACCAGCTGTCCAACTTATTGTAAACTATAGCATCTCTTATGACTCATGAACTATCAGTGTCAAAAAGTAAGAGAGAAAATATAATTTTGAACCACCACACTCTTTGAGAGGCTCATACAACTCTGTTTTATGCAATAACAATTGGTACAACTGGCTAAATGATGAGATGTCTGATCTGTGTCAAAAGAGGGAATGATATTGGTCTGGGCTTTGAGGTTCATGCCAATGAAACACCAAGATATGATTGACCTTGTATTTTGTTTTTATTTACCATAGAGAAAATCATAATGCGCAAACTCAAAATGGGAATAATGTAAAACTCTCACCCATTAAAACTTTTAAGATAAGGAATGTTGCAGCAACACATAACAGATTTCTTTATACCTCTATCGTGTGTATTGTTCCAATTGCATTGCAAAACTTACTTTGGGTAAAGGGGGATTTTACATATTTGTTTAACTTGAAGTTCAGTGTACTTTATGGACTTGTTCTGATAATCAAAGTTAAAAGCTAATCTCCGATTGTCAGTTTATGTAGGAAAGTTAGTATGTATCTTTGTTTTGTTATTGTTTTCTCATCAGTTGTTGTCTGTTAGATAATTAATTATGGATGACATATTGTCTTCTAGAACACCAATATTTTGGTGTTAAGTTTCGTAGATAATCTGTATTAAAGTTTATTCATTCTAAACATTTCACATGACAGTTTGTATTGCCTTGTACTACAACATTTTGTTACAATTTTCAATAGAGGGCGGAGTGGACCCTAAGTCTCCCATTGGAATTGCCGCAGCTTTCAGCAAACCCAACAAAGCTTCGTTCCTTCTAGCGAACACATCAATACTGCTCGAATACGCTTCTAGGGAGATTATCAACAACATTGGAAATAAGTGAGTAAACACCTCGACCTTAAGTAGTGTTATACATTGATTACATTTCTTAAACCTAAAATGAATCTAAGACATTTTCCCATTTTTACAATGAAGTATCATAAAAAAGTTGACTACAGCACCATACACACAGCTATACAGCAGTTGACTTACTCTCCATAAGAATTAAATCACAGAATAAACACCTAACCCAGAACCAGAACTCTCACTGAGCAAAAAAAAAAACAAAAAACCGTTATGTTTTGAATCTGCTAGAGTCTACACTAGAGAGGAGGAGCATTGCAGTCGCTGTGACTTTAAAAAAATATTAATTTCACTTGTACATTATGTTATCCAACCAGCACTCCTAGATTCTGGGCCTAATATATATATTAGGAGATGATTCAAATGCAATTTTTTTTGCTCAGTGAGAGTTCTGGGTTAGGTCTTCATCTATATATATATAAAGCTCAAATACCACTGACTCATTCATTCATTCACTCACTCATCACAAAATCTCAGAAACCATAAGACCTAGGAACCTGAAACCTGGCAGGCATCTTCCTTTTGGGTAGTAGACGCTCACTAAGAAAGGATTTTACCCTCCGACATCTGGGCTCTGCCCCAATGGCTCTGGAGTTTCCCATGTTAACCTTATGAGAAATGGAATTAATGAATCTTAACAGCGGTTTCAATTAAACAAGTTGGTTCTGTTCTATGATGTTCAATAGCATTAAAGTTACAAGGATTACCAACAGGGTGCAGCACTATTATTTTTTTTACTAATTTGCAACCAAAACCCCTACCTGGAGGCGAGTTAGCGTAGCGAACGAGCTAACCTGAAGGCAAGTGAACGTAGTGAACGAGCTAACCTGAAGGCAAGTGAGCGCAGCGAACGAGCTCCAACCTAAAGGTGAGTGAGCGTAGCGAACGAACTTCAACCAGGACGTAATTGAGCCATGCGAACGAGATCATCTTGAAAATTAAGAAGTTAAACGGGGCAAAGCCCACGGGTTACAGCTAGTTATGTGATAAAATAGGACAGCATACTACAAAATTTATGACTTTGTATCAATAAGTAATAGACCTCTATTAATGTCTCAATCATTAATAAACACTAAAACCTTTAATTCTCCAGATCATACTTTAATCTTTTAATTAATTTCAATTTGAATACTAAAGCATATTGTTGGTATTTACAAAAAGATTGGATGAAAATCTGATAAACAGGGTACAAATTCCACCCTTGATTCGCGTTACCCTAAAAAGGTTGGGTCTGCCCTAAAAAGAGGACTGACTGGTTCTCAGAAAAATCAAATAAATCACTTTAAAAATAACAACCATTGTCTTTTACGCAGAAACCGACGGAGGCGACAGTTGGACAGCGGAGACAACATTATCGGCTTTGGCTCAACTCTCTCTGACTTGCCATTGAAAGACTTCTTGTCTGACATTGACGTGACGAGCTTTCTGCCATCTTTGACACGTCATAATATTGCCGATGATGAGGTAGGTTGGTGTAGTGAATTGCTGAGGTAACATTACAATAATAATCATCCAACAACATCAATAGAGTTTGTCACACTATCAAAGATTGTGTGATGGAACTTTTATATTCTCTCTTTGGGTTAAGAAGGTCATACATGTTTGAGTCACTGTTGACTTTGGATTTTGCAAGTAGATTTTCATAGTGATTTCACAAGTGCTTGTGAGGGAGGGGCAATGGGGGGACATAGTTCCCTTTTTTTGCGTTAGAAAACACACTCTATAAGGTTTTCATCCGATACATACTAACAATTATGTTTTAAACGGTTTTTAAGAAAATTCTAGTATTTAGACAACAATGTTTTCAGGTGTTTTACAACAACACTTGTTTGTGGAGGAGGGTCTTTGCTTTAATTCTTAGATCAAGATACTATTTTGCTGCTTGAAGAAAGTTTCTGCAGGCGCCCATAGGTTACATAGTAACAAGACAGAGGTTTAGACCGTCTTCATATTATTTAAAGAAAAAACCCATGCCATTAAAAAATTCAAAACACGACAAACTAACAATGCCCAAACTCCAAAGAAAGATCTTAGCCATTAATTAATTGTTGACAGGTGTGCAACGAGGAGCAAGGGCCGTGTGATCCCCGCAGTCCCTACAGAAGTTTCAGTGGTCATTGCAACAACCTGGAAAGGCCCAACCTCGGCAGGAGTGTCACTACGTTTGCTCGTCTTCTTCCGTCCGTCTATGAAAATGGTAATGCTAATACGTTTTTCAGTCTAAACCATATTACCTACTGTAACAAGCGATTTACAGTAGTTTGGTGTATTTTCATAGGTTGTATCATCATGAATCCCATTTATATCAAATTATGTTAGCTGAATAAGCCAAAAGTGTGCTACTGTAAAACTTGCAATGTGTCTGTTAGTTTTTGAAACTTTAATAACTGATGTGATATAAAGGATGCTCAGCTTTGCTTGGTAAAAAAATTTGTGTTTTCAACAGGTATCAGTACAGCAATTGAAATTAGCACAATTTGTTGTCAGGTCAGTTCAACTACCTCCCATCTGTAAAGTGTGCAGTTTTGTTGCATATCATGCTGTTCAGTAGAGTACTAATTTTGTTAGTCTGGCTTGGTTTGTATATGACAATACGTGTTACAGGTATATCTTCCCCTAGAGTCACCTCCGTGACTGGTGTAGCTCTACCCTCACCTCGCTTGGTGTCATCTACAGTACATCCTGATATCAGCAACCTACACTCACGCTACACACTGATGGTCATGCAGTTGGCTCAGTTTATAGACCATGACTTGACGTTCACACCAGTTCAAAGAGGTAAGTTAACAAACATACATTATAGGGGTGTGTGGGTCCCAATACTTTCTGGTTCCATCAGGCCAACAGTTTACCTGAGAGATCAGTCAGGCCAAGCTTGGGTTGGGTAGAGCCAAACCAGGCATTCATTTTTGCGATCGGAAAAAGCATCTGGGATGATTTACGATATCACCACAATTGTAGGTGATGTTCACGATTTAGCCAGGCGATTGTGGGATGTGTTTACGATTTTGCCTTGACTGTTTCAGATATTTTTGATTTCACTGAGACCAAAGAAGATATTTTTATATCTCTATGACCACAGAACATAACACGATTTCACTGTGACTGTGGAATGTGACCGGAGGATGGTCCAAATTTTTCCGTGACTTTGGAAGGTGTTCTCAATTTTGCAGTGCTGTAGAATAGGTTCCCGGTTTCGCTGTGACTGCGGAGAGTGTCTTTGATTTCCTCGTGACCTTGTAATAGCTTATAATTTTGCAGTGACCGCAGAAAGTATTCATGATTTGCCATCATGGCATAAGATGATCACTGTTTTGCTGCAATACGGGGGAGATTATGTAAAATATTGTATTAACAGATTTTTGTATTGCTATAAATAAATATTTTTAATTTTTAAACACACTTGAGTTTAGCCCGACCCAGTTTGGCCCGAGACACCAGAGCCAAAACTTTTACCTGACCCAACTCAAAGTATCAATGTTTGGCCCGCAGACCCCTAATCATTCATGAGGAATTTTCAAGTATACTTGTATCTTTAACAAGTAATATTGTTTATGGTAATTTAAGTGATCGACTATCAACTTTGATAAAATTTTTTAATCCTTTTACTTATGCAAACTGTAATGTAGTGTTAATAGATATTAGGTTTACGTTTTGTTTGGATATGGGTATAACGGAATTTCTTATATCACTATATTGGCGTCACCATTTGTAATCAATGCTTAAAAATGTAGCATTATCCGACCATGTGTATTTCACAAAGTCAACTTATTTTATGGTATGAAACACCACTCTACACTATAGCATTCTTGAATCAATCAAAGTAATTTTTGTAATAGTTTCTGTCAAAAATAAACAGCAGTTAAAGTTTGGTACTGATTGGTGTGAGCTAAAACCTAACTTAACTGTATCCATAAAATTTAATTGAATCCCTGATTTCCAGGATTCTTCGCCTCCATCCCGGACTGTCGGTCTTGTGACTCCCCCCTGACTGTCCACCCGGAGTGTATGCCTATTACGATACCCACGGGTGACCAGTTCTACCCTCAGATCAACATCACGTCTGGTGCTCGGGTGTGTCTGCCCTTCATGAGGTCACTTCCAGGCCAACAGAGACTGGGTGAGTGTCATAATTGGGTGTCAAAGTAAAAAATGCAAACATTCTTTGGAGAAGTAGAAGGAAATGAATGGAACAAAGATTTTCTTAGCAAAGAAAATCAAATTGGTTCACTTTAAACTACACCCTTAATCAAGCGGAAATATTATTGCTACTCTTCAACAAACTGATTTGCCACAGTATTGATTTAAAAGAGTAATTTTAAGCAATTTTGTTGTGTTGCAATTCAATTCAATTCAAACTTCTTTATTCATTCTTTTATACAATATATACATCGAATAGTGTCAGGTTGTACAACAACTCAAACTAGCCTAAGTGACAATCTCATCCACTCTATGCAGGAGACTGAAAAAGTGTTTATGTACTGTATTCATCATGACTGTGATGGGTGGAAAAAATCTTCAAAAGAATACGAGCTATTTTAATCAGATATTCTTTTAATCTTTTTTTAAATTTGTTTTTATTACTTTCTTTTTTAATTTCTTTTGGAATTGTATTTAAATATCTTTGACCGATGTAGGAAGGTTTCTTTTCAAAAAGTTTTGGTTGACGTTTATACGTTATTATGTAGTCTTTATGTCGAGTATTGTATTTATTCAAGCTACACATTAATGTTCATATAACAACACTGACATTTCATACCACAGTAGGGCTTCTTCAGAGAACTGATGGGAAGAATTAACCATTTTTCATTAATGTACTCATGAGTGTACTCTCTGAAGACGACTTATTCTAGGAAAAGATTCCAGGGTTATGTGATGTATTATTATTGTGTAATAAATATCTCAAGTTTCAAAGTTGGATTCAAGTTTTTCTAGGAAAGCAAACTAAACTCACCCCATTACAAAACAAAAACTTGATTAGTCAATTGGCTTTCCCTTAAAATATAAGCAATTGATGGATTTTGTTTTCAACATTGTTTGTGACGTAGATGAATTTGTTTGATATCAACCTTAATTACCCAGCTACACTGCCATTGTTTAATACTGTTACATAAATCTCTGCCGAGGAAACTAGCCTAGAGGTAGAGAACGGGGCTTCAGTACCCGAGATCCCAAGTTCAAATACAGCCAACCACCAATGGTCGTAGCTATCTAGTGTGACCTAATGTGTAAAACTGTTCTGTGCTGGAACCTAGTGTCCCAAGATGTAAAGGAAGGACACTAAAAAAACATTATCTGAGTCACTGAGTTTGCAGACAAGGCATTGTTATTTGACAAGTATATCCTGTTCGAAGGATCACGGGAACAGATCAACCAAAACACAGCGTACCTGGACGGCTCACAAATTTATGGCCAGGACTCGTGCATGGCTCGTGGTCTGCGTAGTTACGGTGGTCGCCTGAACGCCACCATCAGACACAACGGAGACAAGGATTTGCTGCCGTTGAGTCCATCTCACCCTGAGTGTAAGGCACCCAGCGGATACTGCTTCATTGCTGGTGAGTAGTCCAGAGAACTAGAGCTATTGAATTGTTCCTTTTTTTGTGAATTGTATGCTTTTCTGTTGAAGAGAGATTGTTGAACTATTTTATGGTTTCTTTAAATGTAAGTGAAAGCAGTGAAATTCACTGACAAATCACTGATTTAACCATAAAGGTGTTCTATTTCAATCAGATTTTTTTTCATCATGGCCTCAAGTGTAAAATTATTTTAAATAGTTCTATCTCCGCCGAAAATAGAAACAACATCGGAAAAGCGGTGTAGGTAGTCAAAACAAAAGAGATTGTACAGTGCATTTTTACTCTCAATATTTGTAACTTAATGGGTTGCTAGACTTAAACGGAATTTTCTTGTCAAGACTAACCTCTTTCTCTTGTTAATCCATATAGTCTGTCTCATATTAGAAACCGGGCTTATCTAAGTTAGCCTAAAACGGGTTTTCATCTTTGCCTAAAAATTCAGTTGACTCTGAACTTGTTTTTGCAAGAAACCGAGGGCAAGAACCGAGGAGAGGGGTTTTGCAAGAGATCAAGCAGAGTTTTTATCCGTATCTCAATAATCAGATATGGATTTGATTTTTAACTGAATAATCATAGTTTACTCTGAACCGGTTTTTGCAGGGGACGGAAGAGCAAGTGAGCAAGCAGCGTTGACGGCCATACACACTGTGTACATGCGAGAACACAACCGACTAGTCCACGCCCTACACGCCGTCAACCCTCACTGGGGCGATGAGAGGTGAGTGGACCCAAGTTGCCACCTTGGGGTACTCCAGTGGTTCGACTCAAAGTTACAGATGATTTCATCTAATAACAATGTTAAGTTTTCCTTATTTCCAAGCCTAGTTATGAGAGATTCTTCATCGATTTTACTGGTATACATCAGTAAGTTTGTCAATTTTTAGAGGGTTTTTGATTTTTAATGTTTCTGGCTTCAACTGTATTTTTTGTTGTCTTAATGACATTTTTGTTCAAAACAATCACATTTTAAGTGGTCCACACCTCGTTGAGGGTGTACATCTCCTGGAGGCCCGAATACCTATTTTTCACTGACTGGCTCAAGCTATTAAATAAAATCTTCTAAACAACTTTTAAGTTTCTTCAGTGTAGGTTGCTATATTTTAGTTGAATGAATCCGAATGACACTCCTTGGTGTGTGGGGAGGATTGAGGACCTTTCCTAAGAAAACTAATTACAAATTAAAATATGACTATGTATAATTTTGTCATACCAAACATTAGCCGTTATTTTTGTTAGCCCATGTGACCTACGGGCACCTACGTTGGTGAGATTTTTTCTGTTTGAATCATTGAAATGAAATGAAATGAAATGTGTTTATTGTCTTGTGAATTTATACAAATTATTGACAATGTCCGAAAAACTGCTAAAACTAGCATAGTCAGTTAATGAATACAATATACAATATTTACAAGAATACTACACACAAGGAGACATGTTACAATACATACTTTAATATTACAACCAAATAATCTTATTGTTCAGAAAAATGCAAGGCATTTAGAATAATGAAAGTTATTAAACCCCATAACCAACTAAATCCAACAGTAATTTGGTAAATTTGCTAGCTCTACTTAAAAATTAATAAAAGGCATTTCAAAAAAATCTTTTAAAGAATAAAAAGGGTTGTTCAAAAGCCATTTGTAGAATTTAGATTTAAAAGTTTTATTAGGATATTTTGTTATTAAATGTAAATTAGCTTGTTGTATATTTTTATTGAGATTACAATATGACTTTTAAGAGTTTTAGACAGTCTAAAAAAATCTATGGTAGCAACGTTTTTATTCCTTGTATTATGAACATGAGAATTTTGTTTGATAAGGTTGGAATTTTGTAGAATATATGATACAGAGTCAAATACATAAATGTTATTTACTGTTGGAATTTGTAGCTGAATGAACAGGGGTCTACAGTGTTCCTGTAGGGGTTCACAAGATATGATTCTAACTAACTTCTTTTGTAAGACTAAAATTTCCTCTATCCTACTGCAATTTCCGTAAAAGATAATATTGTATCTGAAAATGGATTGGAAATAAGCAAAGTAGGCTGTTTTAATATAATTTTGATCTATACAATGTATTAGTTTAGTTATAAGACAAATTACCCTTGAAAGCTTAGAACTTATGTAATCTATATGATCTCCCCAAGAAAGGGTCTTATCCAGATAAATACCAAGAAATTTAACATTGTCTACATAACCATCCAACATATTTAATTCACAGGGTCTAAGGCTAAAAACAATTTTTTGAGTTTTATCTTTGTTTAAGAGGAAGCCATTTGATTCAAACCAAATAGAAGCTTCATTGATTGAGTTTTGAGCTAACTCTTGAAGTTGTTTAAGATCGGGATTAATATTTAAAAATGTTGTATCATCTGCATACAAATAAGTTTTACTGGTTATACATTCTGGGAGGTCGTTAATACAAATTAAAAATAATAGAGGACCTAGAACAGATCCCTGAGGCACGCCATATTTCATTTTTAATTCTTGGGACCATTCTCCATCAATATTGACTTTTTGTATTCTATTGTTTAAGTATGATTTGAAAAAAGAAAGTGGAGATCCGTTGATACCATAAAAACTTAATTTCATTATTAGGCAGTGTTGGGAAGTAGGCAGTTTGGGAAGTACAATTGAATACTTGTATACTTGTAGCGCGCTACTTTTTTTGTAGCGTTAGCTGTAGCTACGCTACTTTTAAAATTGTGTAGCTTTAGTTGTAGCTAGCTACATTTTTAAAGTAGTTGTAGCGGAATTTTAGCTACTTTTCTCGCTACATTAACATTTGTTTGAGATAGTGATTTTTATCATAACCTAAACCTTACGTGAAACAACCTCTTTCAAACTGAGATTTTCAAAAAAATTAGGCCTACTTTCTTGGCTTCAAACAGCTGGTTGCAGCCGTTTCATTCCCTACCCAGACAGCACAGATTTATCTATAGAATATCTTATAAACATTTAACTTGGATATTTAAGATATCTATAGATGATCAATATCCAGATATTTATATTTGTTAGATATTGTGAAGAAGTTTAAATGTCACTAATTTCTACTTTCAACAGATATTAGATTTACAATATCTTAAGAACTTCTAAAACTGAATGTTATACGGATATCTGATGACAGATCACAAAAAATATATAATAAATACATAAAAACACAAAATAATAAAGATTTAGTCTGAAAAGCACATTTATCAGTTGAATACTAGGGAACCCGTGCGGCTCAATGAGCCGCCTAGTATGAAACATAACGCCGAGGAAAACCTTATGCTTATTTGAAAACTTGTTAGAAACTAATTTTAAATATCTCTAATGGCGTTACCAAGGTTCACCTACATCATTTCTGCTCTCGATTTTAACTGATAACTTCTAATAAATGCTAAACGATCTGCCTCAATTCGAGTTAATATGTTGCAACAAAGTTTTTCCAGCATTGAGAATTATTGAGGAACACTGTTGCCGTACTGATAACCTTTCTTACGTAATTAAAGTTGGGCCATTTTATTCCTTTGATTTGAGACATCCCCCGATCAAACGAATTTTCTCCGTAGAGTAACCTGAAAAGTGGGGTGATGTCAACCATTTCATTGCTCCATTTTTTACCCACAAACTCGGGGTTACCAACTGGACAGCCATAACCTGCTTTGAATAGGCTAACATTTCTTGCATGCATTCATTTGATCTGACATTTAGGCAAGTTTACTTTCCCACCGTGACAACACTATGAGCTTCGTATATTTTTTCACTTCCAAATTAAGTTGCATAGCAGAACTGGCAAATATTATTCATCTCTCAAAGTGAATGTGTATCAGGATGGGTATCTGTTAGACCAAGTCTCTCTTTTTCTACTCTCCTCATACGCACAAAATATCTTATTATTAATTGTGTCCTACTACCGTGTACAATATTTCTTCTTTGAACTTGAGGAATTTTCTGTTCTTCCAACAAAACTGATTTGAACTGTTTAACTTGGTCTTAACCTACTAAATATTACAGACATCAATATTTACTCCCAAAAAGCTACAGCTTCTTATAAACAGCTGTTTTTTTGTTTTAAATTTGTTCTATGTATTTCTTACGGGGAAAACCCGACCTTTGAGTGGGCCTGACGCTCTTAAGGGCAAGAATTTTAGAATTCTAAAACCTTATTGCAAAACTACATATTGAGAGGAATCTTTTGACACCTCAAACGTTGAAATTGGTCCACAAATAAGGGAGGAGTTGCGTTAACAAAAAACGGCTTCACGTATTATATATATAGATTTTCATTAAATAGTTCATAAAAACAATTTTTGAAGAAAAAAAAAACTAGACAAAATTGTCTATACCCGGACAGGTTTCGAACCTGATACCTTCATCTTATGAAACTCTTACCTTACCTCTGAGCTACCTGTGATTGTTGATATTACTAGTTTTCAAGCGGTTAAAGAGGAGCCAACAGCTGCAATGGTCGCAATACTTAAATATTTTTGATACTATGATTCTGTTTAGGCATCAAGTTGTTAAATTAATTGTTTTTCTGACAGATGGAGAGAATACTGATATCTGAATATAGATTAATTAATTACCATTAGTAATGTTATTATAATGGTTATATGATTAATTAATATTTACCCTTAAATTGATCAACCCATATAGTTTCCTCAAATAAGTTGAAGAATTTTAAAATATTTGAATTATTATTATTATAAGCAGGTGTATTATTATTATAAAAAGGTGTTTAATCATACATTCAAAGTCAATTGTATAATGTTTTTACGGAATGGCTTAACAGTTTTTTTTTTGTTTCTCACAACTTTTGGGTTGTGCGAGACTTGTGTTATTATATATTACGTGGTGTAATGCACATTTCTTCCCTTCTGTCTGACTGAAATAGTTTGACTTTAATGAAACACTCCCTTTGGAAAAGTGTAGTCATTCTTGTAAACATCGCTAATGCAATTTTTGTCCACTTTGGGCTGATTAAAATTATTTGATTTTTTTAACGCGTAGCACGGATTAGAGTAACAGAGACAACATAATATAATTAATCTACCAAAATAACCACACAAAAACTACAATTAAGTTTTGGTTTCATTAGTGTTTGTTGATTTGTTGGATGATTTTAGATCCTGTGTTTTTATAAGGCTAACTGTAATATTAAATATTCTAGATGAAACAATAATGCACTTATCAGCATTTATCGTCTTTATAATCAATATCCAATCGTCAATGTAGGATTGATATTTACAGGATATCTGTTCGTAGATATCTAGTACTGAATATATGTACAATATTTGTAGGATATTGCATCTAAACATTATATAAATATCTACTGTGAAACTTTTAATATCTATTAAATATCTATAAAATATCTTAAAAGATATTTTACAGATTTCTTAGATAAGATATTTTAAAAATATATTTAATTACATTTAGATATCTTTAGATATCTTTAAGATTTCAACCACTTTGAATATCCAATGGATATCTGGTGCTGTTAGGGCTATTACAACGTTGTGTGGACATAGAGGCCATTAAATTAGTGTTATCCACATTTTTTGCTCTCATTTCCTTAATTTACTACTCTATGATTACTGTCAGATAAAATAAAATCGCTAGATGCAGACGACGTTTAAACGGTACCGGTGACAAGAGAAGCTATTGAATTGAATGCTTGCAAGTGATTGACAGGACAGGGGAATTAGTAATCAATTTAGTTTCTTTATTATATCGATAATGCTTCAACTTGGGGTTTAATGGAAACCAACACACCTTGAAATAATGAGAAAGCTGGTCTATCAACCTTTGCTTCAGCTGTTGATTGTGGTTTATCATCACAAGCCCTTCCTTGGTTAGATTACGAAGATTTTTCAAAGGTTTAGTTTACTAAATTAGCAAAGAGGAAATTACCTGATGAGATTTAAGATATGCCTAGACTACATGATAATTGTAATGAAAAAATCTCCATATAGTATGAAACTTACATTGAAAAAATAGCATAGTTCGCTCCTGCTAACAGCTCTTGTATAGGACTGAGGCTATGGTTTAAGACGAATACCAAGTTCAATTATTATGAATATATCTGTTTAGTCCTTGCAAAACAAGCCTACTATAGCCAACTTGTTACATAGCCAAGTAGGCCTACATGTTATTTTTACTTTACAAATTTCATCATGTTTAAATTAAAAGCCGATTTCAGGATAAGTTGCTGAATACTGTTTTCTCTACCAACTAGGTTGAAGCACAATTTGCCCTATGCATAATGACAATAAAGGACGATTTATTGGCATTGAAAAGTGTTATTCGTATAATAAGTAATTTATCACTTTAAAAGTTATAGCAATGTTGTTTTTAACATTAAAAGTAAAGAAAGGCAATAAACTCCAATTTCAGTAGGCGAGGCTCTGTAACACAAAAAATATGTTTAAATAATCTTTTTGCAGTTTTATTGGTCTTAATTGTTGATATAAAACATCTATAAATGAATCTATATTAAATTAATAAAATTAGCTTTTAAAATATAGTTTGGTTGTATGTCCTTTGAACTTAATGAAAATTACATTTTAAGATGCTTAAAAATAATGCAATATTTAAAAATAATTACTAAATATGATGGGACACCCAACTATTTGGTTCTGTTGTTGTAATGTTAGGTTTATAATGCCAATAAATTAAATACAATCTAGGAACAATTTGTTTTCCAGGCAAGATACAATACTGACATTTTTTTAAATGTTTGTTCAATAAAAATGTAGTTGCAATTAATTTTACATTTACCTAATGTGCGTGGAATAAAAATTAACGTCTTTGGAAAAGTAGCTAAAATTGTAGCTGTAGCTACATTTCATTGTAGCTGTAGTTGTAGCTAGCTACTTTTTCGGAACTGTAGCTGTAGCTGTAGCTAAGCTACTGTTTTGGAAATGTAGCAGTAGTTGTAGCTAGCTACATTTTAAAAGTAGCTTCCCCAACACTGTTATTAGGTCATCATGGTCGACACAATCGAAAGCCCTACTCAGGTCGCAGAAAGTGGCCTGAGCAAGTGATTTCCTCTCAAAGACCACATGTCCAATGTTTAGTACCTCATTAATCAATTTATCTATTGCGTCTGATGTACACTTGCCCTTTCTAAATCCAAATTGTGATACACTTAAAAAGTTGTTTCTTTCAAAAAAAGAATTCAGCTGGTCAAAAACCATGATTTCAAACAATTTTGATACTACAGGAATGATTGATATTGGGCGATAACTTTCTGGAATATCTTGTTTACCTTTTTTAAAAATGGGACAGACTCTGGTGACCTTTAATTCATCTGGAAAGACACCCTCAAGGAGACAGAGATTATTGCTTCCTTAAACCCTGTAACGAAGTGTTTTCTCATAGATTCCTACATTGACACACTAGGGTCCATATTTTAAGGCGAAGATATGAAGCACGTGTTGTGAATTAATGATATGATAAGTCTTGCTACCAAATAAATCAGCTACATAGCTTGTTCTTTAGCTAAAATAATCTTCATTCTACCAGGCAAAGTTTTGAACTAACTTTTCTCACAACCAAATTTGTGATCTGTTGATTAGACGATAAATTTAACCACTCAGACACCCAGCTACATTAGTTAGGCTCAGCTATTTTATCCAATGGTCAAAGACCAATAACATAATCTATTTGTTGCAGACTATACCAGACGGCTCGACGTATCGTTGTTGCCAGCTACCAACACACAGTGTACAACGAGTTTCTGCCACGACTGTTGGGTTGGAACGCCATCAACTTGTACGGACTAAAACTTACACCACAGGGATACTCCAAGAGTGAGTTATCTGTGTTTGCTACGATTTAAGGAAAAACTTTGATGAGTTTTTAAATAACCTTTGCTGAGTCAGTCACAATAAGTGATTCAAAGCAATGGATCAAATATAGGTACCCCTTAATAGATTTATAATGCTTATGTATCAGTTTGAGAAATATTTTAATGCTAGTTCTGCCCGGTTTGTGTTTAAGGCGTTTTGTTCTTTATTTGTTTATTGTTAATCTACCTAAAACTTAAATCTATAACCAAAATAAAATTATCAAATAAAAAATTTTGCTTGTCCTTTGGTGTTTCTGGTGGTTAAATGCTTTCATCACTGAATTCTCTGTCTTGCGGTGAGTGCCACGTAAAGTCAGTAGTATTTACAACATTAATAAAACTTTGTTTCGCCCATTTGGTGCCAATGAGGCATCCTCAGGGGCAAAGCTGAGCTGTCACCTGCCAAATGGACGGAACGTCTAGTTTTGTAAATATTTTAAATAGCAACTTGCCGTTGCTATCACTGGAAGACCAGAATTCAGTGATGACACTGACCACTTGAGCGTACAAATGAAGAAAGCATACATTGTAAAAATCCAGCATGAAATAAAAAGTAGACATTAAGTAGATGTAGCACTTAAACATCACATACACAAAACAGAAAGCCATACAAAAAACTCTTTAAGATTTTATTTCTACTAGCTTTATTTAAACGCTCAAATCTATATAAAATGTTCCTGGTTGTTCAAAATCTTTATAGGTTTTATTAAAAATAATTTCTAATTTTATTGATCTGCTTATTTTTTTTTTTTTGTTATACTGTTTAAGAGTGTCAAAATTTTCTTACCTTAACGTTAAAATCAAAATTACTATTTACTGATGTAAAATAATAAAGATGATATTACACAGCCACCTACAGTTCATCTTGCAACCCGAACATTGTGACGGAGTTTGCGACCGCCGCCTTCCGTATCGGCCACTCGCTGCTACGCCCGCACCTGCCTAGGATGAACAGTCAGTACCAACCCGTTGAGCCAGCTGTTCTGCTCAGGGATGTCTTTTTCAATCCAGATATTGTACATCAGGTGAGCTGATGTGGTATTCCCTTAAACTCAGCAATGTGATCCTCAAAGGTGTCTTTCCTCCCCTCCAGCAGTTCTACCGTGTACTTCTGGATGTATTTCAGTACTTGATCATTCAATTACGACGCTCATATGTGTTTTGGGTTGTAGATTATTTGCTTGCATCATTTTTAGTGCGAAGACTAGCTTTGTTCTGTACCCACGGCAATCTCATTTTAGTTTTTTCTTGATAAAAGTTTATTTATGAAGGACTCTTAACTCCCTTTTAGTTTATGTACTCCAAATTACTTTGAGTTCATATACTCCCAAAGTAGCACACAGCATTTTGTTTTCAGCACAATAATTAGTTTCCATTCATGATTTTTTACTGATTCGGCACCCATTAGGAAGTAAAGTGTGCAAATTTAATTTATCCATGCATAATTATTTTCAACCTAATGGGTAATATGATCTTGACTTTGTGGCTTGAAAAAGGTTTTTAAGGCCAAATATATAGGCTACCAACTAACCCACATTACCTCCTGCCCACCCACTAAATCTCCGATTTAACAACTAAATAAGGTGAAAGGGCTCCATAAGAAGTGGACTCTAAACAAACTACTCTTCAATCTTTGTGGATGGGAAATTCACAGTGTTCACTGGAATGTAAACACATTCTTGCAAAAAAAAAACTCCTGGAAATTCAAGTGAAGATGTAGAAGACAATATTTCACGCTAGCAGCCTACGTCACTTTGTGACTTCAAAATCCGTGATATATTTTATATATACTGTAGTTGATAAGGGTGAAAACGATTATTTCTCATCACATCCCTCCTTGTGAAGCTTGATGATGGTGCCACACAGGCACCAAAACTATAATATAGTTGTGTTTACAACAACGTTGGATTGCCTAATAGCAAGCATTTGAACCTTTTTTTAATATTAGTGAGTTGGATTAGGCTCTATAAAAACACAGCCCGTGGAAATCACCTCTTAGTATCGGCCTTTGAAAAACCAACTGAAGTCTTTTGGCCCAAGACTTTTCAGATTCAGGTTATAGTAACAAGTTAGTGACCCACTTGTCTGTGCTAGCGCCACATGGTGGATGAGCTGATACGAGGATTGGTCGCCACGCCCATGGAGAACCTCGACCAGTTTATCACCGGAGAGATCACCAATCACCTGTTTGAAGACAGAAGGGTTCCCCATTCTGGCATGGACCTTCCAGCTCTAAACGTGCAGAGAGGTGAGACAAACCAAATAGAAGGGAAACTTTTATATTTATTTTTTATCAAAACCTTCTCAAACAGCCTATGATATGTATACAGACAGCAAAATTAATAAAAAATATTTTTTTACGTCTGTATTTTAGAATGTTGTAAATAGTTAGTTGACCTACTAACCCGATGACCATCTATGCTTTTGTCCAAAATATTTTTATTTTTTTGTTCTAGAAAAACATTTCTAGTACAGACCGTTTTACAAAGATTAATGTTATTATATACAGGGTGTCCCGGAACTCTCTACCAATATTTTAGGGCATTGATCCTGGGTAAGAAACGTGCCTAAATATCATATTTAAATTTTCCGGAAGTCCTTAGTTTCTCACACAGCCACTATTTTGTTTTTTTCAGTTATTAATTTTTTTCTAAAGAATGGTTAAACATACGAAATGGAAACTTTGCACAAACATTTATTACAAGTAGACAAAGCTACAAAAAAATTATGATGATTTTTCAAATTCATAAAACAAAATGGCGGCCATTTAAAATTTTCTCACTTAAATAACTCAAAAACCATTGATTTGACAGAAATTTTAAATGGCCGCCATTTTGTTTTATGAATTTGAAAAATCGTCATAATTTTTTTGTAGCTTTGTCTAGCTGTCATAAATGTTTGTGCAAAGTTTCCATTTCGTATCTTTTACCATTCTTTGGAAAAAAATTAATAACAGAAAAAAACAAAATGGTGGCTGTGTGAGTAACTAAGAACTTCCGGACAGTTTAAATATAATATTTAGTTATGTTTCTTACCCAGGAGCAACGCCCTAAAATATTGGTAGAGAGTTCTGGGACACCCTTATAATCAACTATAACAATAAATGTTGTAATAATCGACATATACAGGGTGTCCATAAAAAACGTTTCAGGACTTTGGGAAATGAATCCCCATACTAAAAGGAAGAAAAAAGTATATGGGAAGGTATGTCCGAAAATGCATATTAACCCAGATATCCGCCATTTTGTTTTTTATACAAAAAAATTTTTATCTGTGAAGTTTTTTATTCGACGATTATGAAATTTGGTATACATGTTAATATACACAAGACCTATAATAGAAAAAATAATAAAGTTGTTCCGATTGTAAATTTCAAAATGGCGGCCGTTTGAATTTTTCTAACTTAAATAACTCAAAAACGGCTAATTCTATAAAAAAATGTCAAGGATACTTTTTTTTAGCATTTTTAATTTCCTATCAAACGATACCAAGATCAAAAAGATCGGACAAAAGATAACTGAAATGTAACGTTTTTTGTGTAAAAATAAAGCAAAAATTAAGGGTTCCTCTACTAACTTTGCCTAATATTTACACAAAAAACGTTATATTTCAGTTATCTTTTGTCCGATCTTTTTGATCTTGGTATCGTTTGATAGGAAATTAAAAATGCTAAAAAAAGTATTCTTGACATTTTTTCATAGAATTAGCCGTTTTTGAGTTATTTAAGTTAGAAAAATTCAAACGGACGCCATTTTGAAATTTACAATCGGAACAACTTTATTATTTTTTCTATTATAGGTCTTGTGTATATTAACATGTATACCAAATTTCATAATCGTCGAATAAAAAACTTCACAGATAAAAATTTTTTTGTATAAAAAACAAAATGGCGGATATCTGGGTTAATATGCATTTTCGGACATACCTTCCCATAAACTTTTTTCTTCCTTTTAGTATGGGGATTCATTTCCCAAAGTCCTGAAACGTTTTTTATGGACACCCTGTATATCCGCCTACCGTCCACTATGCACAAAATGATAGCGGATATCGGGGCTATAGAATACAGGGGCTGGCTCACGTGGACTAGCAAAGTGGTCCCACTGCCGTGTGGCTGTGACGTCACCGCGCTGACTCCACGGGTGTAGCTAGCGCGCGACACATATACAAATCGCTCATTTAAATGCTTCCCTAAATGTACACAATTAAATTGTACGTATAAAACTTATATCGTTGTAATCTGCATTAACTACAGAATCTGATGGTCCAAAAATATTTTAGTTATGATCAATAATATGTATTTTAAAAGGGGAAAATTATAACGATTACAAACTTGTGAACTACAAAAAGTCACTAAGCGGGGATGTTTTTTATTTTTGGGATAGGAACAAACTTTGAGCGAGAAAAATATTCATTAATAGTTCTATTTCAATAATTTAGCCTGAAAATTTTCGATAAAACCAACGGGTCGTTAATTGCTTATCAGGAAGTAAGGCTTTAAGGCTTTATAAATTTGGCGATCACATTACATCGTTCCGCACATGTCCGCATCGTGCTGTTTATAACATGATAGTAAAAAAATGTTATGATCCTAAAACAATTGCACTGGTTCTATTAGTGAAACATGTAATTAGTGCTAAAACTGAATTTTAAGAATTGTGTAGACTTAAGGCTTAGAATGTTATTTTATCTTGTTTGATATTCCGGTACCCCTTGTCATATAATTCTAATACACTTGGTTGGGTATCTTTTAGGAATGTGTAATGGTTTAGGTAATTTTATATTGTCTGTTGAACAAAGTGTTTATTCGTAGAAAATAAGTAAAAGAGTGTTTTAATGCGATACTATTTTTATTATAATAGGTATCCTATTTCGCTGATTTTAGCCACTTACTCATCTTCTGATCATTTTTCTTCTATGTTCTTCAGAAACAAACGGAAGACGCGAATAACAATGAAAGAGCGAAGTTGTTTTACGCGTATTTGATGCAGTGTTGCCATAACAACAACCTAAAATTTGCGAGGCGAACGGCAAAATTACCCGCCAGCGCTCAGTTGTAACAATCGTCTTTTGAGACGATTTATTAATGAAATGTTAGGGGTATTTAAGAATTGTTAAGTAATTACTAAGGAAGAACTGATTGACTACAGTTTTCTCGCTGAAAGTTTGTGCCTAACCCGAAAATAAAAATGTTCCTCGCTTAGTGACTTTTTCAAGTTTCATTATTGTAGTTTCTCTACGTTTGTTGGTATAAAACCAATTTACTTGTGGTAAACTAAAAACTGTTTGGATATTTGGATTGTACAGTTAATGCAGAATAAAACGATATAAGTATCATATGAGAAATATGTTCGTACAACGGTAGGAGAGCGTGTAAAAGAGTGAGATTTTCGCTGGCCGCGTAATGGAAACAGGCCTGACTGTCAGCCCGGTGACGTCACAGGAGGTGGGGGAGCGGGGCCGTGTCGGCAAGTGCTACATCAAAGACGTGAGCTAGCCCCTGTATTCTATAGCCCCGAGCGGATATAGCCACCTATAGTCCGGGAAGGCTTAAGGAACAATGGTTTATGTAATTTTCATGTCTTGTGAAAAGTAGTTGTAAAAAGGAAAGACTATTCTGTAGCCTCATTTTTATGTTAAGATTGTATTGACATGTCACGTGCTTTTCTAAATGTTTTATGTGACAAAGTGAACCTGAATGATTTTTGTTGGCAAAAAAGGTCTCTGCTGTTTCAAATAGTGCAATGTAACTGAACCATTTTTGTTTGTGTTGTAGGCCGAGACCATGCCATCCCCTCGTACAATGAGTACAGAGCTTTGTGCAATCTGAAGCGAGCTACTACATGGGAGGATCTGAGCAGGGAAATTCCAGCCGAGACTATTGCCAGGTTTGTTATTTATTTGCATATGTGATTCAGACTACCGGTAGTGGTTTTAAAGTAAAAAAAAAAACTAGACAAATTCAGAACATTCATTTTCATTTATAACTTTCATAACCGAAACCATGCCCATGTATATTTTTAGAATGGGAATGCCACGAATCTTCTTTCACTGGTTATCTGACATTGGTTATTTCTTTGTTTGAAGTTCATTGTTGGTGAAGGTGAGTTAATGTTGTTCAAAGGTTTGTAATAATCCTAAAATGATTTATTTTTTTGGAACCTATAAAATGTCTGCAATAAACCTTTGAACAACATTGGTTATTTGTTATTTTAATGTATCATCCCTCAGTCCAAATATAATGATAGGAGGACACACTCTGTAATAGGGTGCAAAGGACAAATCAGAGTCAACTAGCAACATTTTGATTCGACTGAAGTATTTTCCTCATGAGTAATAATTTGTTACTGTTTGCAGGTTCCGCCGTATCTATGCCAGTGTAGACGACATTGACTTGTTCCCCGGAGGTTTGAGCGAGCGAGCTGTCCAAGGCGGGCTGGTAGGACCAACCTTTGCTTGCATCATCGGACTACAGTTCCGCCAACTGAAGAAGTGTGATAGGTTCTGGTAAGTGGATCACTTTTGACTGTTTCCACGAGATGGGTTCATTTTATTGAGCCAGAGAAATCAACAAAAAATACCTGTTACCAATGTGTTAGCCTTTTTTGAGACTATTGATTCATTGTCAGAAAACTGCCCGTTCCTAATGTGTGACTCGTCCACTAAAACCAAACTTTATTTATTTAAACTTACAGCTTATGATTAGTCAATTATCAATTAGTTGAGATTGAGACGCCACCTAGGTGTGTATTTTAACCCAAATATGAGTGTAGAATCATAGACAAATAGAATAGATATAGACTGGCAGCGGATAGCATATGTTCCGACGCCCACCGCTAGGAGTGTTAAGTAGTTACGGCGCGCACCGCTGTAGCGTCTGCTGGTAGCATAAGGCTCCTGCGCTCCTTGCCTGTAACTACACGGCACTCGTAGCAGTTAGCGCCGGAAGCTTCCTGTGACAGTCTATATTTATTCTATTTGTCTATGGTAGAATGTTGTGAGATGATCTGTGTAGCTTTATTACTGCCTAAGATCTGCGGTTTCATCAGTCAAGTTTTAACATGCAGCTGATTGGTGCGTAAGGATATTAAGTCCACTTTGATTTATTCTCTTTAAGTTCTAGTTTAAGAATGTCAATTTAAAATGTTAGCCCTATTTATACGTACAAGATTGATAAACCATTAAAATAGAACATGGCTATCTGTAAAAAAAATTCTGAAGATTTTTAATTGAGAGATAGGTTATTTTTTTTTAGGGAGAGGAGGGAAAATGTTTTTACGCACACAGGTAACCAGCCTGTAGTGTGAGACTCCTGAAAATTATCAGACTACTCACTAAAAAACCCCCTCTACTCTGTTGGACACAGACCTGGAATTGTTTGTCACATTACTTCAAGTCAGGCCAACATGTGACCTAACGCCTCTTTCACACGAAGCGGCGCGCGCCGTGCGGCGCCCGCCGCGCGGCGCTGCGCCGGACAAGCGTGTGTCTTCACACTAGTACGGTTTCGTGCGGCGCGCGCCGTACGGCACTCCTAAATATTGATTATTTTCTGATTCTGTTCAGTTGTTCAGTTGTGGATTAGTAGCAGACATGTTAACACCATACCAAAAGAAGGTTCTCGCAATTTACTTAGTGTGGAGACGAAGGAGAAGAAGACGTCGTAATAGGCGATTTTGGGTTCACCCAATGCTTGAGAATCGTCACCACTTTGGTGCATTCAAGGTGTTGTTTGAAGCCTTGAGAAACGATGAAGAAAGATTCTTCGCTTATTTTCGGATGTCAATTAAATCATTTGACGAGCTTCATGACAAACTGAAAGTGAATCTGCAAAAAGAAAACACAAGAATGCGAAATTGCATCCAACCAATTGAAATGCTTGCTGTTACAATAAGGTAAGTTTATGAGTGTACAGTAGTTTATATATATTTTTTAATTGTAATTTTGATTACTTGTTGAGTAACATTATTGAAACATAAAGTAATCAATGTTTCAGTTTCAATATATATAACTTAATAGTTGAACCTCATGGCCCCCGCTCTCGCAATAACATATTTGGCTGATGTAAAAAAATTTGTTAATAATACTGTAATAAAAAAATAACAAAATGATAAACAATTATTTTTTTTTTATTATTAACAACTTTATCAATTTTATAATAGTGTAGATTTAATGTGATCTGGTTAATTGATGGGTACCGTAATTTATTCGAATCTAAATCCAAAACTTACTGTCCTTTGAGCGGAAAAACCGACAGGTCAACAGACAACAAGAGTAGAAGGCAATTACAAAAATAACTAGGATCAAAGTTTTTTTTTTTAATTTTTTTTATTAAATAAAATGCAAATAGTTGAACATTAATTATGAAATGTCAATATTTCAACATTAATAATAAAAGCAAATAGTTTAACATTAATTATCAAATGTAGTTCAACATTAATAGTAAAATGCAAATAGTTAAACATGAAAAATAAAATGCAAAAAGGTTTAACATTTATTATAAAATGTAAATAGTTCAACATTAATAGTAAAATGCAAATAGTTGAACATGAATAATAAAATCAAATAGTTGAACATGAATAATAAAATGCAAATAGTTGACAATTAATTATGAAATGTAGTTCAACATTAATAGTAAAATGCAAAAAGTTGAACATGAATAATAAAATGCAAATAGTTGAACATTAATTATGAAATGTAAATAGTTCAACATTAATATAGTTATTTTAACACATATTTGAGGCAAAACATTCTAAGCATTCCAACTTCCAGTAGATTCCCCCTCGAAATCTAAGGACAAGATACTTGATGACGACAGTGGTGTAGTTCTATCGTGATTCGGGGTTGGTGTCCGTGGTGGATATGGTTGTAGCGTAGGCTGCTTGTTGCTTCCTTGACTGGTTTCTTGAATCCCTTGATAGAACTGATCCCTGCTGTTGGAGGGATTAGGATGAATTGGACGAGTGAATGGGTTGGTGTATGGCTCATAAGTAGGTTGCGGGGGGAATTGCGGCTGTTGTTGAGGAAAACTGATGTTTTGAGGCTGACTTCCGGGATATGGGTAAGGGACTTGCTGGGGAGTAGTGACCTGGCTGGTTCCTTCGGCCTTAACGTTCTTCAAAACACGTAGAACACCAAGCTGGAATTCCAGAAACTGGTCATTCGTGAAGGTTTTCAAAGTTGGAACCATGCTTCTGAAAAATCCGAAGTAAGTTTCATCTGGGTCATCCCCTTTGTCTAACACTTTCATCATTTTCAGTTCGAACTCGTCTTCCGGTTTTTTCCTCTTTCTGGTTATTTTTGGTCTGCTCGGCTCGCCCATCTGCGCTTGGGTCGGGTCTTCAGGATCGTCCACCATTTCATCCGTGGGCGAGACTAAAGTAGGCCTATTGTCATCGGGAACGTTGATAGAAGACTCAGTGGCATGTTCGTGTGCAATTTTCTTCAAAAACTGAAGTTGGTCGTGATATACGTATTTCTTGATACTGCTGGCTCCAGCTCCGGATTTTTTCGTGTCCTTGTCTTTTCGAATGTGTTTCATCCATCTGTCCCGTATATTTCTCCATTTCTTGATCAAGCTGTCCCCTACAAATAACAACTCCGTTTTAATTATTTTACTAATAATCATAACATATGTAAAGTAGTAAGTGACGTGAAATAAATGTCGGATACAGGCAAAACTTAAATATTTATTTGTGTAACTAGTGAGTGAATTGGCACTGTTGTGCGAAATGGGAAACGCTGCACCAGCTGATCGTAGTTGCAATATTTTTGAGTGCTGTCAACTTATTTTCAAGCATACACGGATTACTTGCATAATAAAAACACGCTGTTTTGTGTTGTTTGCTTGGAATACGGGTGTGCACCAAAGTAAACATATTCTCTCATGTCATTTAAGTGCCACATCGCTAAAAAGTTACACAAATAAATATTTAATAACCAGAGGTTGTTCCGTGCTCAAAAACTCGACCAAACATATGTGTTGTGCAAACTTCTCTATTTTCACGTCGTATATTTCAACGTTACATGCCACGTCTGAGGCTGAGCCACTTAACGGTTCCGAAATCCAAACAAAGACAGTTATCTATTGTTGTTTGTTCCAGGTACCTGGCTTCGGGCAACTCGTTTACCGATCTACACTTCTACTACAAACTTGGAATCTCTACAATAAGTAAAATTGTAGAAAACGTTTGCAAAAGTATATGGGACGTCTTGCAATCTGAGTGTTTTCCTGAGCTGACGACAGATAATCTAAAGGAGATATCTGAAGGATTCTTGAAAAAAACACAATTCCCTCATTGCGTGGGGGCTGCAGACGGCAAACATATCCGTGTTGTCAAGCCTGAACATAGCGGTTCTTTATATTTCAATTACAAAGGTTATTTTTCTATTGTTCTAATGGCCGTGTGTGATGCAAATTACCGGTTTACCTTTGTTGACATTGGAGCTTATGGATCAGAAGCAGATCCTACGATTTTCCAGAAATCAAGTTTATGGAAAAACATTAAGGATCAGGACATAGAATTTCCTAAACCTGAGCCCCTCCCCGGGAGTGTTTCACCTTGTGTACCCTATTTTTTCCTAGGAGACGAAGCGTTCCCCTTAAGTACTAAGCTCATGCGTCCTTTTGGAGGCCGCAACCTATCCGTCCAGAAAAGAGTGTTCAACTATAGGTTGAGTAGAGGTAGACGACTAATTGAATGCACTTTTGGCATCATGAGTAACAAGTGGCGGATCTTCCATCGACCCATGAATGTACATGTAGATTTGGCAGTAAAGATTACCAAAGCCTGTGTGGCTCTGCATAACTTCGTCAGAGTGAGAGATGGAAATAGATTAGAAGATGAGTCCACTGTTGTTGGATGGGAAGATTTCCCAGTATGCAACAACCAAGGAACCAACCAACCATTGCGAGGTGGGATCAAATCTATCCAGGTCAGGAATGTTTTGGCCGACTACTTTATGACAGACGTAGGATCGGTGCCATGGCAGTTAAAGAAAATCTGATCACAACGCACATGGACAAAATTGTGAACAATGTTTACAATTATGAACTGGACAAATAATATGATTTTATGTACATAGTAAAGTATTAAAATTTATAACAAAGTCAGTGTTTTATATAGTTTGCATTAAAATGGTGTTGGAAATTTGTTTTATACTTCTGCACCCTTTTCCTTCAAATGTCCTTTAAATCCCGATTCCTTGTAGAAATAAAATTGAGTAATATAATATAAATGGTATGAAACCCGGGTTACATTGACCCCTTTTTCGATATTTTTATTGATTAATTTTGGTCTATATTATTAATTGATATTAATTATTTGTTTGTAATAAGTGCTGAAATATTGCTATACATTTTTTACCATATCAAATCCTAACAGTGCAATTAGATAAAAAGAAGGAGGTAAAGAAACATGCTTGCCTATTAATAAATAGATTTTTAAAATACTAATTTCTGGTTAACATTATTGTTAACAGTTACCAAACTACTATAATTTATCATATTTTCTTATTTTAGAATTATTTATCACATACTATTAAAAAAAATTAAGTATTAAAAAATTGACCCCGGGGTCAATGGTCTCCCTGGGGGTCATAATTGCTTTGCTTGAAGGAATGATAACAAATAATGAAGTTACAGAAATAATTTTTTTATGGTTGTTATATAAATATAGGGACTCCAAGTTTTTGTTTGGCTTTGGCATCAATGAGTTTTTGTTTTATTTTAAAAAATATATGGTATACAAGGTTTAAAAATACCTTTTTATGTAACAGTTTATAAATATCAAAGACAAACAGGCATTTAAAAACAAATTCACATACTATAATACATCATGGTGGAAGGAAAAAAACATTGATTTTGTTATAAAAACAATAACAATCAAATAAAAACAAATACATACTAATTTGACAGTTACAATCAAATGATCTTTTGTTTGCAATCCGAGTGACGTTAGAATATGTGGGAATAGCACACCTATGTTTATTCCTTCCACCATGATAATACACCATAGTTGTAATATTAGATATAATATAATAATAGTATGAGGATGAGTGAGTTGCAATCAAACTACATAATTGTAATTTGTTGTTAGAAACGACTATATAGTCTTTGTTACTTACCCAATCTTTTCTTTTCCGAAGCAGATTTGTCGTCAAATTCTGGAAATAGCACCAGACAGATTTCTCTCCAAGCTTCCCTATTTTTGTTTCTGTCCTTATACTCCTCTAGAGACTTGTCCCACAGACACTGTCTTTCTTCAACTAACATTATCAACTGTTCTATATCCACGTCCACATCAGTCTCAACCACTTGTGTCTCTAGTGTTTCACTCATCACGAACTTTAACTAAAAACACTTAAATAATAACACTTGTACGTCTTCACCCTCCAAAAGCAAATCAAAGACTGACGAAAGGCTGTCAACCTATTGTAAGTTGAGGCGGACTACCTGACCAGACGGTGGAGCAGACAATGGCTATGCTGACCCTACCAACCCTCCGAGTAAATCTCATTAACCACGCCTCAGTGAACACTCCACTTAAAAGTTCAAATAAAATGAATAGGCTAATTTAAAATATAATACATTCGTCATATCTGAAAAAATTTTATTCTAGAAGTAAAAAAAAAAATGTTTCATTACGTATAAATTATTAATTTAATACTAAATATTCTCCTTTAGTTATTAAAGGAAAATTTTTGTTTTAATACTTTAAGTTGGCCGATTTGCATGGGATGAACATAAAAATTTATGTTTTGTGATAAGTTTAAAAATATTATTTCGCGATACAACGATATATAATATCCTAATTAACTGTTCCACCCTCTTGGCCTGGTAGTTTGCCTAAATTGAGACAGCGTAGGGGTTGGGCCGTGCGGCGCGCGCCGCACCGTGTGAAAGCTCCCATAAGAACCAATGCACCTTCACTGACTTGTCCGGCGTGGACGCCGCGCGGCGCTTTCGTCCGGCTCAAGGTGCATCCGGCGGTAACTCGCGCGCCGCACGTAGTGTGAAGGGACTCATATACTCCCATAGCCCTACGCCGGATCCGGCGGGCGCCGCACGGCGCGCGCCGCGTCGTGTGAAAGAGGCGTAAGCCCTGAAAGATAGGTTGTTATGATGATATCGTAATTACATTTAATGCTCTGTTGTCTAGGTATGAGAGTGCTGACCCGATAGTCAAGTTCACCGAGCCACAACTAGTAGAGATCAGGAAGGTGGTTCTGGCCAAGACACTGTGTGATAACTTGGACACTCAGGGCACCATCCAGAAGTCTGCTCTGGACCAACCCAACGACTTCTTGTAAGTGGGGTTATAGACTAACTTTTGGCTCTTCATTAGATTAAAGTTTTTTTTTTTTTTTTTATTTTTTATTTTTTATTTTTTTTTTTTATTGTCATTTGTCAATTTACATTGCTATAGACAACGTCAAAGAAATACATTAAAGTGCAGTATAAAAGGAGATGAGTACAATGTACTTGTCAGGATAACAGATAAAACATCAAAATTAACAATTAGCAACAAATCAATATAAACTATGAAAATTAACAACAAATAAATTACAACTATTCACCAAAGCATCACTGGATCAAAGCTCAATAATATTAAGTTAAAATCTATATGCTAAAAACTCATCAAGAGAATAAAACGCTTTATTTATAAACCAGCTTGACAGTTTTGATTTGAATGGTTGGATTTCAAGGTTTCTGATCTCTGGTGGCAATTTATTGAAGCACTTGATTTGTAGATATTTATGGCTGACTATTGTTTTCCGCAATCTAAAAGAGGGTGGGACAATATCTTGTGCTCTTCTAGTGTTATAATTATGAACTTTCTCAAAACATACATAATCACTCTGGTTTTCCTTTACATATACAAGATTTTGAAATATGAAAATGCAAGGGACAGTCATTATATTGTAATCAATAAAACATTGCTTACAGTCATCTTGATAAGGTAGATTGGCTAAAATCCTTACTGCTTTTCTTTGCCAAGCAAAAACATGGATAGCACCTCTACTATTTCCCCAGAGCATTGTGGCATACAGCAAATGGGAATGAAAATCACTAAAATAAGTATTTAATAACATATTTCTACCAACACATTGTTGTAGCTTACGTAGCAAAAAACAAGCCCTTGAAAGTTTTGAAACTACTGAGTTGGTGTGAGATTCCCATGTAAGCTTCTGATCTAAAGTGACCCCTAGTAATCTAACAGGCTTACAATCTTCCTCTGAGTCTAATTTTTTCAAAGTAAAACAGATTGTTTCAGTCTTGTTGGCATTGACTGTAAGGTGGTTAGCATTAAACCAAGAACTGGCTAATTCCATTACTCTGTCACTGTGTGCTTTTACATTTTTTAACACTTTATCGGTAACTACAAAAGGAGTGTCATCCGCATATAGAATGGTTTTACAAGGAATATTGCTAGGCAGATCGTTTATATAGATAAGAAATAAAAGTGGACCCAGAACTGACCCCTGTGGAACCCCTGCAAGGACCTCCTGAAAAGAGGACTCAATGCCTGCCGATGAAACCTTGTGCAATCTACCACAGAGATAAGTTTTAAAGAATTGCATCTGCTTATCATCTATACCATAAAATGTTAGTTTGTTTAGAAGGGCTTCATGTGATATACTATCAAAGGCCTTGCTGAGGTCTACAAGAGTCATATTAACATAATCACAATTTTCAAAGCTATTAATAATACCAGTTACAACTTCATTTAATGCCTTAGTTGTGGAACGTCCAGGTCGAAAACCAAATTGGCTACTACTTAAAACATTATGTTGATCCAGAAATTCTAAGAGTTGGTTCTTAACACATGATTCTATTATTTTTGAAAATACAGATACGATACATATTGTTCTATAGTTATCAATACATGACCTGTCACCCTTTTTGAAAAGCGGTATACTCTTGGACATTTTTAAACAATTAGGAAACAAGGAGCAATAAAAGGAAAGATTGATCAAATATGTCAAAGGTGATACAATATTAGCTGCAATATGTTTGATAACTCTGTTACTAAAACCAAAAATATCTTCACTCTTAGATGGTTTCAGAGTTATATTACTATTATTATTCCTATTATTATTATATATGTCAGAAGTTATAACAAATGTGTATTATTATCTTATTTGAACTTTAATTTGACCCTTCCTTTGGACTAATTAGTTCCAGGAAATCAGACCCTAGTGTGTTTTACTGTTCATGGTAGTGGATATGTTGAAACAACCCCTTTTGCGTGTCTAGTTCGCGAGATATGAGCGATGATTTTGAATTGTTCCCACTCCCACCAAGTTGTACACCTGCTGGAAAGGCGACACAATCAGTTTTGGTCATTTCCATGATGGCCCCTACAACAATCAGAAGTCTAAATTAATTACACTTTAAGATCATTCTCAACCCCTATAGATGCTGGACTAATCGTATGTTGACTCAGTATTCATGTATTTAATTTATTCAGTTATTTTGGAGACATGAGATATGGGTAGTGCCAAATGAGAAATATTTTTAGCAAAGGTATAATTTGAGAGTATTTGGTAAGAATAAACTACAGCACATGTTTTATTTTTTTATTTAGCTTGTCCTGTGCTAAAATATTTAAGGCTATGTTCTGCAAGTTGTTTTCCTCATGGGAAGTTAGAATTTTGGTTTGGAAACAAGAACATCATAAGCGTAACTAGGATGATCCTAAGGAGGGTTGCACCGGGCGGTCTGGGAGGAAGGGTGTTCAGAGCCCTCCCCAGGAAAATTTTTGAAAATTAGACCCTGTATACCCACATTTTCAGTTAGAGACATATGAAAAAGATTTTTTAATTGTTTACTTTCATAATAGCATAGTTACTCATAACAACATGGGTAATGGACCAATGAGGTTCAAGGATTGAGAGAGATGAAGTAAAATTGTAATGATTCGAAATTTAACTAATCAGCTGTTCAGGCCAATTTAATTGTTGAGTGGTGCAATTCTACCATTGTTGTCTAATTTGCCTAGGATCATATTATTTACTTGATTGATAAGCTTTCAACCTGTTGTTGATTTCTAGAAATCCACGAGTGCCATGTCAGTCGCTTCCAACGATTGATGTAAACGCTTGGAGAGAAAATGCAGCGCAGGGTTGCCAAATTGCAGGACGGACTGTCCCTGTTGGTGATACAGCGTTGCCAACTCCCTGCACAAGCTGTGTCTGTACTGCTGAGGGGGTCAGTATTACCTTACCAACTTTGTAGATTATTGTATATTCATTTATTTTTGCCCCAGGATTTAACATACCTTTTGCTGCCATACATCCATTATCTATTATTGGATTTACTAGTCTTAGAGCATTATTGCTTTATTTCAAAATCTCATTAGATCGTCACATAGTTTTTATTTTAAGGAACTTGAGTTGTATTGTAACCTGCTATGCCTTCAGTTGAAAATGGATCTATAATGTTAAAAAATAGTAACATAATAGTAGGTAAAGGTCGGCAACAAAAGGTAATAGTAACAAAAAGTTGATTTCCAATGAGAATTATTAATTAATGAAATTAATAATGAGATTTTATATGGATATGTATGTAGCAAGAATTTGTCTGGTAAAATTAATTTCAGTAAGTATTTTAAATTTTTTTACTAAGGCCAGCAGTTGCTTTACCCAAGCCAAGACCATTTATAGAAAGCCCAATGTAAAGGACTGCTGGTTTTGAACCATTTAAGCTGTATTCAAGATGTATTAAAATATACACGATGAAATATATGCATAAATACAGAATGGCGTCAAAGCAGCTTATTACTGATTAAGAAATAGGTCGTTAAATAAAATAAACTAAATAAAACAGGAAAATTTGATCAATGTAATTACATGTTGTAAAGCTCTTCAAAAAAGTAAAATGCTACAACGGCCCTGCAGGGAAATTCAGTTGCTTTTTGTTTTTAACTTCGACTTTCTATCTCGAAGTAGTTGGACTTTATTCTCAAAGTACTTTGACTTTATTCTCTAAGTACTTCGATATTTCTACAATAGTCTAATTTCAACACACAACTTCTCCCTGTTTCTATCATTGTCTTAAGTGTCAACTCACTTATGCAAATGTCATGCTTCAATTAAAGAATTGCAAGTATTTCAGGCTGTTGAAGGCATAAATTAAAATATTGTTCAATCAGTTCATTAATGTCATATTCCATGATGTGTGCTAAAAACACTTTCTATCTGCCAATTCCGATCAAAAATATGTCTACAGAAGCACCCCTACATCAACATTTAATAGTTATGGTTGCAGTTGCCGTAAAATTTTAACAAACGACAGCCCTGAAGGGAAATTCAGTTTGTGTGTTGAAATTAGACTAGAAATATCGTCAAAGTACTTCGAGAATAAAGTCAAACTTTTTAGAGATAAAAGTCGAAGTAAATTAAAAACAAAAAGAAACTGAATGTCCCTTCAGGGCCTTCGTAAAATGCTCTAGCAATTAGAAACAGTTGTTTTTTTTTTTTGTTTTTTTTTTAGACATAATGTTTTATGTCAAATATTTCTTTCAAACTTAATACCTACAGGTTTTGGCTTCTTGTTATAAAACTCCAGTTTGTGTTGTGTTGTGGACGGATAATGTGTATGCCTAGTATTATCAGCCCCCACATACATAATAGTTTGCAATATATTATATGTGCTGTAAACGGTTAGAATTTAGGACTTCTTAGGATCGAACCGGCTACTATTGGGTGAGCACTATAACCACTCAGCTACTATCACAACTTACCATTGTTGTTTTTCAGCCACAATGTGCGTCCCTCAGAGTACACGACTGCTCCCAGTTGATGAGAGAGGCAGGGCGAGACGCCATATTGAGGGACGAGGTAAGAATTGCTGGTATTTTACACTCTTCGGTTGTTTAGATTTTTACTAAAAGGCTTTTAGTTTTTACCCTTATTGGTATTTGATTATACCTTGTGTTTTAAATTGGCCTAAACTGAAAAGAAATTTAATGTAATGCAAGTCATTATAAAATTGCTTTTACAATAGTTTTTTAAGAAGTAAGTAATGGTTAAAACAACTATTTATTTATAGTTGAACTATTTGAAAGGGATTCATACTACAGTATTTGTAGCTGAACGATGCAGAGAAGAGAATATACATATATAACATACAATAGTACTTGTAGTTTGGTTTTATGATTCGATAAGCGATTTAGAAGCCTTCTTTCAGTTTTTATTGCATAATGAACATTTTACTATTACCTGTATTTTTTTGTAACCTTATTGAGGTAAGTAAAAAGTTTTGGTTTCCAGATTTGAAATTTCTGGTTCTAAACCATCTTTAATTTCTAGCTTAACCAAGAGGGGATATGTACTGTAGAATTTGTAGCTAAACCATCAAGTTAGGATTTCTACAGAGGATAAAGCACCCTAATAGCATTTGTAGCTGAACCATCAAGTGTGGATTTCTACTGTAGTATTTGTAGCCGAGCCATTTAATGACGATGTTTAAAATAGTATCTACAGCTGAGCCATTTGCTCTACAGTATTACAGTACCTGTGTTTGTAGGTGTGCGCCGCACAGTGCTCCTCATTGTTGTTGTCCTCGCCCGGCCCAACTCTAGAAGCTATCGAGGAGGTTGTGTCTTTGACAACTCGTAAGCCGCAGAGTCGTGCCCGAGACTTCCTCCCCACCCGGCTGATCCCCCCTCCCCCACAACCACCTCGACGACCTTCTCTGAGGAGCTTCAAACTGCCTGACATCTTATTCGGTTGAACACCTTCGTCCTCCACTTCTTTATGATGTGGCTTAACCATTTTTATCGAGGATGTTGTAAGATAACTTTGTTGAAGTTAACAAAGTTTTATTTGTTGAACATGAAGTTCTGGAGTGTTACAAATCAATAGTAGCAAAGGAAAAAATATTTGATCATTTTTGTTTTGGGTTTTATGTAAAATTTATTTTATTTAAAACTCTTACTTTGTTCAGCTAAAAAACTTATGAGGTTTAAAAAGTGTTTTTTATTATCGGAACAGAATAAACAATCTGGATTTCGAAACCAAACCAAAACTGTACAGGATGGTTTTAGGATAGGTAAAAATCTGGTGAAACCTAGGTTCTTTACTGTTTGAAAAAAGCTGCTTGACAGCTTGCTTGGATATTATGTTATCCTTCCAAGTTTTTTATAACAAATACTCCATTTACAAACTTATTTAAAATGTTCTCAACACATTTTAAGAAATTCTCCTTTTAGGAAAATAATTTTAATTAAAAAAAAAAGTTTTCTCACACATTTATGAAATTTGTTGTTTGGTATAGTATGTATTTATAAAACTTGACTCAAAAAACATTTATACATTGAAATAGTTGTTTAACCTTTGAAAGAATTTGTAAGCATGTCATTTGTTTTTTTGTTAACATTTAGTGTTTATTTGTAGGCTACCTCATGTCTCAATATAAGGGCTGATACGGCTGATAATGCATAATATTTGTGAAAGAAATATAAGATACAAGTGATTTTAGGGTTCCCAAATGAGACGTTAGTGTATATAAACAAAGCATTAGTTGTTTGTTACCAATTTAGGTACCTTTTATTCTTGTGTTTCATCCTTAGTTAGTCCAATTAGGGATGACTGTATATAAATAGAATAACCCTTGAAAAGTAGTCAATTTGAATTCTAAAGAGCTCAATTAGATTAGTGATGAATTATATATTTGAGTTAGTAATTTCACAGTGAATTGTAAACTAATAATATAGGTACTTAGTGCATTAATTTTAAGTTTTGATTTTTCATTGAAAGTATTTAATATGAGAATTAGCCGTTGCTTGAAAACAGCTATATTATGTGCCAATTGTCTTATTTCTATTATTTGATCAATCACTTTTAATAATTTGTAATATTGTTTTACTACCTATAGAAAATTGTATTATAAAATATTGTATATATTCTTATAAGATAAAAAGATTAAGTTTTCAAAGTTTTTTGTTTTTTGACCCTAAACTAAATTGTATTGTCTTTGTATTGTGCAGTGTATTAACACTGGTCTTACAACCCCTGTTAAGGAAGTAAAAAAAGAGAAAATATAGAATGTCATATATAGAAACACAACACTAGCTGGCCCGACATACGTCGTCCTGTCCTATTGTGGTTTTATGTCAAATGCTAATGCTCGTTCATTTTCAAGATGAGCTCGTTCGCATCGCTCAATCACGTCCTGGTTGAAGTTTGATTGCTACGCTTACCCACCTTTAGGTTGGAGCTCATTCGCTGCGCTCACTTGCCTTCAGGTTTAGCTCGTTCGCTACGCTAACTCACCTCCAGGTTGAAGTTTGTTCGCTACGCTCACTCACCTTTTGGTTGCAAATTAGCGGTTGTTATAAATTTTAAAAAATAATAGTGCTGCATCCTGTTGGTAAATCAATTAACTTTTTTAATGCTTTTGAACATCACAGAATCAAATTGTTTAGTTGAACCAGCTGTTAAGACTCCTTAATTCCATTTAAATATAAGTACTCATAGGGTTAACATGGGGAAACTCCAGAGCCACTGGGGTGGAGCCGATTGGACGGATCACGAAATTGATGGTGTATAAACCTAATCCATGAAATTCTACCCTTATGTACCAAGTTTCGTGGCAATCGGTCCAACAGTGTCCTAGCTCATAACGTTTAATCAAACATACAAACTTACTATTTTAAGTAGATGGGAGATCTACGAGACTGCTCCAAGGAATTCGTTTTCTTAAGACTTAGCGTACTCTACATACTCTGTTTTTGACCTGCTGAAAAACTGTCCCTAACCATCTCAAATTAACCCTTTAAACTTAGTATATTTTCAGTATCTTAATCATGTCTATTTTTATCTTGCTTTAACTCTTCTTTTGACATGAACATCCAAATGTTTTAGGGTTTCTGATTTAAAGTGCAATTCACGTAAGAATTCATTCATTCTACCAGCTACTTGAGTCCTTCATTGCTTAATTTAGGTGGGTCTTTCCCACATACAGGTCAACTTCTCATATGGTTACACACCAGACCTGACTGAGATGAATTCAATTATCAATTATTTAAGATGTATTGTAGGCCTAACTCTATATCTACAACAGTGCTATCTCTTAGTTGGAGAGGCAAAACCTTAAGACTGGCCATAGATCAGTTGTACAGTTCTTTTCTCGAGTAAAATTAAAATACCAGCTGGGAGTATGTTTAACAACATTGAATCACCTGGGCGGTGAGCACTTTTTCCTATCGCCGCACCAAGGGTATAGATATCATTACGATATCATTCTTGATCGTACTGACGACGACAACTCGATTGCCTATTGCACAGCTGACACCAGCAAAGAAGAGAATGTAGTGTCAGTACAAATAAATTTGTTTAATGGTTGATAAATGATTTTGATATGACAAACCGATATTATCTTTCCTAGCACTAGGGAAATGTGTTCCCCAAACTAAGCCTGCCAGCTGTTCAGCTGTCTGCCTGCGCACTAGCATTTTTTACTACTGTGCATCTTTTTGCTTGGTTTTTACTCGCGAAACGAACTGTAACTGACAACCAAAAGTGTAAAACTTGACTCACAAGCTGGCAGCACATTTCAGTTATACCTGTAGCTTTTGACTGTTTTTGCTGATTTGTATTCCTATAGCTAATTTCTAGTGGAAGTTTGGCTGTAGTCTTCCATCTGACGCTCAAAGGAATTATGTTGGAGCTCAAAGGAATAAATAAATAAAAATAACCATCAGCTTGAAGCATATTCGGGTAAATTTTATAGTTAGATATAGTTATGTAACATAACTGATTTCATGTGTGAACAATCAGTTTTATCATCAAGAGTCATTTACTACAAGCTTTGACCATTAATAAAATAATTAATAGTTTTTAATCAAAATGGTTATAGCTGAAGTGAGCCATTGACATAAATTACTGATTTCTGTTGCATAATAGACTTTTTAACCTAGTAAAACTAATAGGACGACTTATTATAATTTATATTATCTTCAAGTCATGTCAACTATCCCAGTAACAAATAAGGTAGAAAATAGAATTATAGACACCAGCGCAATATGTGTCTGGCTCACTCAACTTCATCCTTTTTTAATATTAAATTGGTGACAGCTTGTCAATATAGATGTCTTATTTCAGCAGCTAAAATAGTCAATACTACAAATTTAAAAACGTTATTTGAATTTTAGAAGATGAAAAATATTTTTCATCACTTCTCACCGAAAGTAACTATTTTCGATAACAGCTGACATCAATGAAAGTAGCCGTTTCCCAAGCTCTAATTTAGGGCGAGGGAAAATCGATCAGCTGATTTTCCCTCGCTCTAAATTTTACTTTCCCTCGCTCTCAATTAGTTTTCCATTTATTCACTATGCGCGCTAGTGTTTTGTTAAGGTTTAACTTAATGATTTAAATCAGCTGTATGTATTGTTCAAAATCGTTTTATTCTTTTATTTTGATGTTTGAAGTATTGAGGAATGTATGAAGGTTTCCTTTAGAATATTTTATTTTATTTTTATGTTTTAAAAATTAAACAAAAATGAACATAGGTTTACTTTTAGAAGATGTTATTTTATTTTTATGTTTAAACAAATTGTTTGATAGATAATTATTGTAATATTACTGAGGTCTGCTATTCTGTGTTTGTGTATTTTTGCGTCGTGATGAAAAGTATCGTTCATAACTCGTACCGAAAGTTATTATCCGGCACTTGCTCCATTATTCCCGTCCTCGGCTTCGCCTCGTACGTGAAAATAACTCTCACGTACTCGGCTTCGCCTTGCACGTGAAATTGGGGTTCCCTGTGTTCGGCTTCGCCTCACACAAAAACTTGAGCACGCGCCGGAAAATGCCACTTTCGGTCCTAGTAATGAAATATACTATTTTTAACATGAAATTCATGTCAACATACTCAAACGTTACTCAGACATCAAGTTCACACATAAAGACCCAGGGTAAAAAAATGTATAATATACAGTATGATAAAAAATTGATGTAGTCATCCTGTCAAAAACAGAAATGACATAGAGGAGCTAACCAGACTGTATATAAAACAGAGAAAATCGGCCTAAAAGTTAATGATGAGAAGACAAAATGCATGCACTTCACAAGACAGCCAAATGAAATTAGATAAAATAAAATTATTATAGATGGACATCATTTTGAAGTTTTTGAACAAAATTTAAATATCTAGGGGTAATTATATCAAGCAGTAATAGTGAAGAAATGGAAACAAACTATAGGATTGCTCAGGCCAATAAATGCATGTACACTTGAAAGAAATTTGAAATTTTTGACTTCAAAGATTCTCTCGCATAGAACAAAAATAAAAATATATCATACTGAAATTTGACCAGTATTAACTTACAAAGCTGAAACTTGAATTTTAAACAAAGAAGAAAAACACAAAGTGATTGTTTTTGAAAAAAAAATTTAAGAATGATATATAGCCCAACACAAGAAAATGGAGAATGGAGAAAAAGGCATAATAGGGAGATGAGGGAGGAATATGTATAATGATTATGATGTAAATAGCACACGTGAAAGCAAGGAGAATACGGGGCAATACGGAGAAAACTGAGTTTACTATTAAAAGAAGCAAGAATAGGAAAGCCAGAAGGGAACCGACCATTAGGAAGGCCCAAGAAGAGATGGTGGGATAGTGTCTCCAAGGACGCCAGAGAAGTGGGGGCAGCAGTTAAAGAGGCAGAAGATAGGAGAGCAGTTGTTGGTGCGTGTGGCCAAATCCCATCTTGGGCATAAATGGCCATTGGAGTGAGTGAGGATAAAAAAACCGTGAGAAATCTACACTCAAATCACAGAATCAAAAGCCATTTGTGTCAGTCACAAAACACTTATTAGCAAAGGAGCAATATCAAATTATCAAATTTAATCTATTTAGGCTACTTCCATCACTGCCATGTTTTTGCGATTCTTTAAATACACTACAGAGTTTTAAGTGGGTACTCCTAGATAGTAAACAACACACGTTCAAATTACATCTTTATTCTTTTACAAAAAAACATCATTTACAACAAATAATTTAAGCTTACAAACAAATTTAAACATGATAAACTATGGATAAATAATAACACATGACCAAATTTAAAAACAGACACCAAAGTTTAAGGTTAAACACACGCAAACAAACAGGTTAAAGATACCAAACAAACAGGTTAAAGATACCAAACAAACAGGTTAAAGATACCAAACAAACAGGTTAAAGATACCAAACAAACAGCCTCGGATACCATGCAATTTTTCACAAACACATGCAGGTAAATCGGAAAACAATTAACTCCATTCCACAACCAATGATTGGAAGGGATAAGGAAGGAATATTAACAGATTGGTCAATTTTTGCCCTCAGACTATATGTCTATCCACTGATTTTTAATTCCTTGAACTAATCAAAAATAAGAAAGATGTATTTCTAAACTATTTTGATAAAAGAACTAAAAAGTATCCTTGCACATTGAAAGTATGCATAAAGTAGTTAAAAATAAGCTAAAAGAAACGGGTGGATATTTACAATAAATAGCAGATCAAGATTAGATAAGAATAACATAAATAAATATAAAATAGAATACAGTGAAGTTTAAGAGTATTTACAATTAAAATGGAAATAGTTTAAGTTAAAACTTACTAATCGGACTGCCCAAGTCTCATATTAGATTATTTAAATTAATAATTAAATAAAAATATAACAATATTAATGTGTGCCGTGGCTTAATATTTAAATTTCAGGTTAACATAAATTATACATTGCATGTAAACATAGGTACCTGGTTTTGAATCAACTAGGCTAGTTTTACCTTATCCCTTTTTTCTATCATTAGTGCAGGAATGTTTGGAAGGGAAGCGTTATTATTAACTTTTTATAACATTACTTTATAAAATGCAGATGAATATTTACAGAATAAAAGTACACAGTAATTTTGTTAGCACCGTATTTATAATTTGATTATTCAA